GGCTTCTTAGCTGGATGTCTGCTGTAGAGTTTCACTTCGTTGAACTGTTCTTGCACTAACCCCAATTCAGCAATTTCAGAAATTATGTTTGGTCCTGACATCCGATGCGATGTATTTTAGGAATTCTTGTAATTATCCGATCTAACAAAAACGTAGTTTTTATGAGAATACAATATTGACATATTATCTACATGTCCTTTTTCATTGTAACCTCAGATTATTTTGGTTACACTGTGGAATATTTATTTCTGTAACTCGTTTACAAATATAAAGCTTAACGACAACCTTCTTTTTTGTAAGGCACTTTTGTTGTCCTAATAAAGTAGTCATAGCCAACTCCTGAATTTGGCAGATTACTCTTCTACGATATACAGTCAGTGGTTTTGTCCGATAGTGTATAAAATAATTATAATATTATGATAAAAAATAACATAATAACATTATAAAAATGTGTATGTTATTTTTTAATACTTTTTTAATATAAAATAGTAAGGTACATTTTAATATTTTTAACAGAAGTTGTATACAGTTTTATGTATAACCTTTTCTTCCATTGGCGTGTGAAGGGTAGGTATATGTGACAACTGAGATTTAAATTAAATTCCATGGTATTATAGGCAATCTTGAATAAAAACGTTTTGTATTTTACAACTGATGTATACAATTTACGAAAGCTGTTTAATAAGTTGGCAAACAATCTTATAGATTACTGTATTGATTAAACATGATTTTTTAAGTAATAACAATCATTACGAAAAGAAAAACAATTATACCTCTTGCGTATTAATAATTGTACCTTTTGCGATAATGTTAATTAAACTATGGCACATTTTCCCTTAAATAAAAATAATTACTTAAAATAGTCAAAGGTCTTCTAAATAAAACAAGTAGTGGTAGTGATAATATTTAAATAAAAGTAATTAAGGTGGTAATTAAGGCAATATTGATTCCTGACTCAACTAATAAATTCCTCTATTGTTAAAGGTATATTTCCCACTATCTTAAAGACAGCGGTAGTCATTCCCATATTTAAGAAAGGAAATCAATGTCGAGCAGAAAACTATAATAGGCCGATATCATTATTTAGTGTTTTTTTCAAAATATTATAAAAAAGTAGTCTCAAACCGAATTACAAATTACGTACTCAAATTTAATATATTATCTAAAAATCAACACGGTTTTTGTTAAGGAAAGTCAACAAAAACAGCAGCTTTTGACTTCGTTTAAAAAATATACGACAATATTGATATTGAAAATTTAACAGTGGCTCTGTTTTATGACCTTACCAAGGCCTTTGATATAATAGACAGAGAAATTGTTAAAATAAAACTATACAAGTTGGGAATAAGAGGAAATATTTTGGATTGGGTGAAATCGTTTTTGGCTGAAAGAAGTATTAAGGTAAAATGGATAAAATTATCTCAAAGGACTACAAAATTAATTATGGAGTTGCCCAAGGATCGGTAATTGGTCCCTTAATATTTCTTTTATACATACACGACGCTTTCGTAATTAACTTTGCAGATGATACCAGCATTGCATTGCACTTGGTGCAATAAAAACAAACTTATTTTAAACCAATCCAAAACAATAACAATGTCCTTTAATAATGTTCAATGTATACACCAAATTCCTAGGTTTAAATATTGATCACAAACTAAATTGGGAGTGTCAGATTGACTTTGTATGCTCAAAACTTGGCAGCGCATTTTATGCCATTTTAAAAATGAAATTAAATATCAAATGTATTATGCACTCGTTTATTCACATTTGTGTTATAACATAATTTTGTGGGGAAATTTAACAACAATAAAACATTTGTTTGTCATGCAAAAATAGAATTATTCCACTTGTATTCAATTTAAAAACTCGTGAAACTTGTAAAAATGTTTTTAAATCTAAAAACATTTTTACGTTGTTTTCTATTTTAATCTATAGATATGTAGGTATACAGTAAATTTAAAAGGAAACGACGTACACGCACGGTGCTTCTGAGAGGTGATTTTTGGACTTTCTGTGAAACCTAATTTTTTTTATATTCTTGTTAATTAGGTCATAACTAAAATTTTAAGAGCAAAATAAAAAAAATTTGACGGTTAATTTTGTTTTAATTGGATGTTTATTAAAAATATGTATGCACACTTTCAATTCTCCAATTAAAACTTGCGATTTTATTTAAATATTATCATAACTTTTTAAATCAGATTAAAGATTTGTTAATTTCCTAAAAAAAGGTCTATCCATTTTTTATATCTTTTACTGTTTTGTTGTAATACACCTTTAAAGTTTTAATTTAAGGTTAAATGTATAGTATACATTTATTAAACAATAATTCTAAGGGTGCCACATTTTATTTAGGGCCGATTTATTCATTTTTGATTAATTTGACGAATAATTTCTTTGGATACTAGATATTGCCAAGACATAAAAGTTATCGGCCCAATCAACTTTACTAAAGATGAATAAACCGGTCCTTAGTTAAATTTCATGAATTTCTTCGTAACTTTTACTACAATTTTTCATTTTTGTTTAATAAAAACACTTTAAAAGACTAAACAAAAATTATAGAATACGTATACTGAAAATGACAATTCAAACGTCAATAAATTTTTAATAGATCTAAGTTTCATGGCAACCTTTAAGGATATATTAATTAAGGGAACATAAATGTATACGTCAAAGGTTAGAATAAAAGTTTAAAAGTTTATTGCAACAAAACAGTAAAATATATAAAAAAAATGGTAAAAACCTTTTTTTTAGTTATGAAAATATTAAATATTTAAATTAAATCGCTATTTTTAATTGGATAATTGAAAGAGTGCATAATATTTTTAATAAACAGCCAATTAAAACAATTCAAACCGTCAAATTTTTTTTATTTTGCTCTTAAAATTTCAGTTATGACCTAATTAACAAGAATATAAAAAAAAATTAGGTTTTACAGAAAGTCCAAAAATCAGCTCTCAGAACAGCACCGTGACACGTCATCAATCAGTTGATCGGGTACGGTTGTCAATGTCTTTGAATGAAAAACTTCATGACGGAGTAAATCTGTGGGTAGAAAGCATAAGGGGGTAAGTCAAAAAAAGCAATTTTTCGGCAGAGACTTAAACGTGTTCGCATTAATTCAGGAAATATATTTATGGTTAGCGAGTATACCCTTTTGCTAGCATATGACGTTTTATACATTTAGTATTGGTACCCTTTATAATCTCTGTTGGTACCAGGCTTTGTTATCTATGGTACCAGTGCGCCATCGTCATCGATGAGGTGTACGTCGTTTCCTTTTAAATTTACTATACAAAAGTTCCATCTATTTTTTTAACCATGAGAATATTTTTACTAAAAACATTTTAAATCATAAATATAATACGAGGGCTATAGAAAAATCACCTAAATACTTGTGCATAAAAATATACAACAAACTACCGTTGGAATTAAAAACCTGTGATAATTTGAGAGTGTTTAAGCTTAAATTAAAAAAAAACTTTTTATTGAAAAAACATTGTATACCATGGTAGACTTTTTTCTTTTATAAGTAATTTTAACTAAATATTGTTTCTTGTATGCATGTATCATTCTGTACTATATTTATTTATTTTTTTACTATATGCCACTGCTCTTATAATTTTTACAACTGCCTTTTTATATATTACATTTATTCAAATCAGTTTTATTATTTGTAGAAACTTTTATATTTGTATTTTGACGAGTTTTATATCAATTTTGTATTGATTATTATTATTATTATTATTTTATTATTATTATTATTATTATTATTATATCGGAAGTCGGAAGCCAATCAGAGAACCGCATTATCCACCGTACACTGGACTGCGACAAATGATCTGGTGCTCTGATTGGTTAATCAATTCCGATGGAAACTACTTTCTATGAAAATTAAAGTCAAAAATTTCCAGAAACACTTAAAAATAAATTTATTTGTCAGATTTGCAGATTTTGAGCAAAAATGCATTGCAAAATTTTCACTTACTTTTTAAATTTGTTAGCGCCCCAATGTAAAACGATCATTAAATAAAAAAGGTAAAAGTTAAAAATTTGTGTCTATAGGCATAATAATAATAATATTCAATATTAATTATTTAGAATTAGTAATAATTACGTGACACTGTCACGTTCCAGTTTTATAATAGTGAGCCATCTGCGAATGGTAATAAATGTTTAGTTCCGTAGTGTAGGTACGCGGTCTTGGTTAACTTTCTTGAAAAAGAATTTTAAAATATCAATGCATATGGTAACACAGGGGATGCTACACCTTCCTGATGCCCAATTTAAGTCACTATACCAGAGATATTTAGTACAAGTTGGGATGTCTGTATCTCAACCGAGGAGATATGCTATAAACAATTATATGAATAAGAAAAACCTATTAGCAAGATGCTGCGTGAGTCCACAAAAACAAAACGCAGAATGATGTCGACTTTAGCTGGATATAACTATTTTACAAAAGTCAAATTAAAATATAAACCATGTCCAAAGTTATCTGCTCACCATTGCTACCATTCTAACTCCATTATGATTAGAGGTAAAAAGTCGGTTAAATTAAGTGAAAAATGTCTACATAAGCTAAATATCAACTGGCTTGAGTTGACCTTTTTAAAAATAGGTAGGTATAACTGCTATATTTTTTTGGGTTTAGCCCAAATCTACTTTAAAATTTAAAATAATGACCCGGCAGAAAGAGATTGGGCTTATTCAGAAATTCAAATTAATATTACTGATAAAACGACAGTTACACAAAACGGATTATAAAAAATATCCTTTTTCGAAAATAATTATTTCCTTTATTTGTATCCAACTTATACAAATCTTGTATACAAAGTATATAATTGTCATAAATATTAAAAAAAAAATCTTTTCCCACAAAGCCTCAATGCATGCCTTATCACGAATAATTTTTAAATTGACAAATTATTAAGAAAAATATTTTTTTTTGTTTTCATCAACACAATTTTATTAAAAGCGTCATTTATTTTCAGTTTGCCGTCTACTGCCCATCGAATACGTACAATGGTTCGACAAACAGGCCATCATAGCAATGATTTTCGCATCCATGGGCTTTCTAAGTACATCTTTCGCTTTTGCAGTGTTTATGAAATATAACAACACCCCAGTCGTAAAATCGTCCACCAAAGAGCTCTGCTACATCATCTTAGTCGGGATGACGGTTTCCCATGCATCCATATTCGCCATTATCGCTAAACCCTCAAACTTATCTTGCGCCTTAACTAGATTTCTACCCGGTTTAAGTTTTGCTATGATATACGCAGCATTATTAACAAAAACTAATAGAATCGCAAGAATTTTAGCGGGCAGCAAAAAAAGATTTCCAACCAGAAAACCTTTATTTATGTCGGCAACTGCACAAGTCTTCATTACTCTTCTACTTATAACCGTGGAAGTATTTATATCGGGATTTATGCTCCATTATCAGTATCCGGATATAAGTCACGTTTATTATTTCGATCGAACCCTTCTAGTATGCAATACAACTCTAGAAAATATCGTCACACCTCTCGCCTTCGATTTCTTTTTAATAATTCTCTGCACCCTTTACGCCGTTAAAACGAGAAATGTTCCTGAAAACTTTAATGAGGCAAAATTCATTGGATTTGCAATGTACACGACCTGCGTGATCTGGATAGCCTTCATTCCAATTTATTTTGGAAGCGACTCTAAAGTAATCACTATGTGTATGTGCGTTACCCTAAGCGCTATGGTTACATGGGTATTTATGTTTCTGCCCAAACTCTACATAATAATTTTGCAACCAGAACGCAACAACAGGGCTCTATTTACTACGAGCAAGTCAATCAGATGCCACATTGGGTCGAGGGTGGCGAGTGCTCTATCGGAAAAGAGCTCTACGAATAGCTGGAAAGATAGTAGTACATCCGCCAGAGAGGTTAAAGAGCCTCAAATGAGGTCCCTCTCATGTCAAACGGGAAGTGAGCTGCTACAAGTTATCCTAAATCCAATGGCGTTAATAGAAACGCGCACACCGGTTTCAATAAATAATTCTTTGGTTCCAAGAATTACGGAGCACAACTGTTGCGAGTCTGATAATTGTCAGATGAAAAGGATTACAATTGAACTGCCATTTGATCCCAGCTATGGAAATTAGGACTTAAAATGCATAATATACACTGTATATTATACAGGGTGTCCCAAAAATAGCGCACTAATGACTTACCACGCTATAAAGGCGTGCGCCATTTTGGGAACACCCTGTATTAAAAAACACACACTTTAAACTATTCCAGATATTTAAATATAATTTTATATTCAATAATAAACATAATTTTGTTCAATCAGCTCTTATTTTCATGATATTGTTTAACAAAGTTTTCGATATGCTTACATTCCAATTTGTATATACATTTTTAATCAAATACTTTGACCCGGGATCATTTGAGATTTAACTATGGGTCCTAATTTAACTAAAAAAAATTCATTCAAATCCATAAAGATTCAAACTTTATAATTTTTTGGTAAATAACTACGGTTATTTTTGTCCGATTTCAATGAAATTTCAACACTATCAAATTTTAATAATAAAAATTGGCTAAATTGATATTTACTTTCATTTTCGCTCATGGCGCGTGTAGGGCTCCTTAAATGTGAACAGTAATAATTTTTCAATCGGTCTATAATTTCAATTAAAATGATTGAAATGCTGGTCCAAAATTAGATCTTCGTAGACGCTTCGTTAAAAACCTAAACTTTACCATAGTTGTTTGCAATCCAATTATTGTATTAGACTTTTTAAATGTCACATAAATAGATTGAACTTAGAATGCCATGGTATGTCATATACATTTTATATATGTATATATTATAATATAATTTAATTTAATTTATAATACCTACTGACCAAATACTGGGTGTCATGTAATAAGTTCACGCCAAAGTAAGCAGGTTTTCCTCTATCACTTTTGCATTAGTACTTCTTAGTTATTTGATGGGCAGTCACTGGTCAGCAAGAGCTGTCGACCATCGAAGTATAGTCGGACCTTTAAAATCATAGCGGTACCGATAAGAACCACAGTTAAACAACTGGCCAACTCTACTTAGGGCTGGTTTGTTAGTCCAGTTAAAGTTGCAGTTAGTTATCTGGCTGATAATCATGGATACCATTGTTCTCACAACAATCGGTATAGAATTTAACTGTCAGTTAGACCATCTGGAACTTAACCAAAGTTTGATAAACCGACTCGTAGTCCGTCGACCCCAACCGGTTACACGTTAGTGCCGTGCCAAAGAAATGCCTAAAAGTTAAGTTAATTTTCATGATTTTTTTTATTCAAAAACATAAGTACTTCTGTTGTAAATGACCGATTAATTCCTGTAGAAACCAATTGAAGTATTGGTTGGTATCAATGGATCTGAATTGGACTTACTGGATTTAATTGTGCGCGATATAAAACAGAAATTGGTTTTTACTGGTATTTTCCATGATGGAAAAGTCCAATTAGGATTCTAATGGTTTTTATTGGTTTCGATTGGATAAAGCTACCTATAGGTAATTTCCAATTAAATTCAATTGGGCATTCCCAGTGTAAGATTCGAAAAATCTGCTAATTGGTTATTCTCAATACAATACAAATATCGCAAGAGGGCTCTCGTGTAGCTGCGCAAAATCAACGAGGTTGAGATGCCATCATAAAGAAAAAAAAACAACAAGTCTTTGGACGCCATTTATTAGCGGTTATTTTTATTAGTCGGTGCCTAGTGTTAAAAGTGTACATATTAAGTGTATATTAAAAAAATGTTTATATGTGTAAGGTTTAGGGACGATGGAGTAAGAATGATTGTCACACCGGACAAAATAAAAGAATTTCACATAAACAATATCTAACCTACAAACATCCTTTGCAAGAAAGACAAAAAATGATTATAACCGAGTAATTTTATTTATTTTTTATTACTTTTTTTGTGATAGTAAGTTATATGTATCAATACATACATATATCACAAAAAAATAATAAAGAAATAAAATTACTCAGTAACAATAAATTTTTTGTCTCTTCTGTGAAAAATGAATTCTGGTTTTTACCCGGTTATCTTTCTGGGATCTAAAATTATTTTTGAATAAAAAATAAACTGGTACACAGTAAAAAAAACTTTACACTAGGCTGCACTAGAGAACACTAGTTAGAGCTTGAGCAGGTCCACTTTATTAGAGTTGAAATTTTCACCCTAAATTTAGTGTGAATTTTAGTGTTGTTTTAACTCTAGGGGTTGTACTCTTATAGTGTAACAAATTTAACACAGTTCGTGCAAATTTATATTCTAGTTACTGCACTAATAGTGTGAATCGTACTCTTATAGTGTTAGACATTTAACACAGTTCGTGCGACTTTCTACACTATTTGATTGAAAATTACTACACTAACCGTGTTCGGTAGCTCTCTAAAAGGGTTAACTTTTACACTAATTTATTTGCATTTATTTCACTTTTAGTGTGAATGCTATTTCTAATAGTGCTGGAAATTTAATCTATCTAGTGTTTATCCTAACACTAATAGATTTAAAATTTCTACACCAATAGTGTGTAAGATTGGTGTCTGTAGTGCGCCCTAAAAGTTACATACATAAAATTCATTTAATTTCGATAAAAATGGTATAGGTAAAATGGTATACCCATGGTATTGCAATATATATTATAATATTAATACATTATACACCAAGCGGAGAAAGCACATATTATCGACAAGCATACATTTCACTGCCGAGGCGTTAGCCGAGGTAGTAGATTGTGTGTCAGGCAATTAATAAGCTTTCGCCGCCGTGTTTTATATAGGTACTATTTTTTTCCAAGAATTTAATTTTTAAATTCTGTTCAACTATATATATAGACAGTGTTTTAATACGAAAATTATTGTACGCTTGAAAAAAACATATATAATGGAGGTTTGCAATGATTCTGCTCTTATTAATTTTGTATATATACCTAATATTTAATATATGAATTACTTTTGGTTAGCGCTGCAGATATCTTGATGGGGTACTAAAAGAGGATATTTAAATAATGTTCATATAAAACAAATTTATATTTATATAAAAATACAGTCTATTGTAAGTTTTACGTTACAAAAAATTAAACTACAATCTTTGGCAATTATTTATATAAATATGTAAATACACTGTAAGTTTTACGCTACAAAAAATAAAACTAATCTTCGGCAATTACTTAAAATATAAATAGGTTTAAAACACAAAATAATATTTTGGCACTAAGTACCAATTGAAACTGATTGGTGTAAATTGTATGGCTCTTTGGAAAGCAAGCTTAAAATTTCGTAGTTTTATACAGGTAACAATTCTTACCCATTTTGTGACTAAAATTTTTATCGAATCGGGAAATTCTTCTATATAATAATTATATACCAAATTTTTGCAATGATAATCTCAAAATAAAACTTTAACTGAAGATCCACTTGGCAATTCAGTGCTAAAGTTGTCATCATAAAATTCCATCTGCTGGTTTGTTAAGCAAGCTTAAAATCCCGTAGTTTTATACAGGTAACCAATTCTTACCCATTTTGTGACTAAAATTTCTATAGAAAATGGAAGTTCTTCAATATAATAATTATATACGAAATTATTATACATACACCAAATTTTTGCAAAATAAAACTTTAAGTGAAGATCCACTTTGCAATTCAGTTCTAAAGTTGTCATCATAAAATGCCATCTGCTGGTATCGCACTGCTAAGGTTTTAGCTAAATTTTTAAAGTTACTATCAGGAAAAACATCTAAAAATTACAAAAAAAATCGATTTACTTATTATATACATTAAAATGAGCTATTGTAAGAACTGTACTTGAAATTTGTCTTTACAATAAACAAAACGCGATTTTCACGCGATTTTCGACCTTATGAACCAACACAAAATGGAATTTTTTACATTATAAACTAAGATGAATAATAATAATCCTTTAAAATTGACTTACCTTTAGTTAATAATTATAAACCACAACTAAACAGCTTGGTGCATTTTTCCAACACAAATTCGGAGAGAAAAATGAACGAAACAAGTTTGCGTTTTTGTCAACTGAACATCACCTGATTGCATATTTACACTAATGTGCACTGCCAGAGCTTGGCTAGTGTTAAATGTATTTTTAAGTGTGAAGTTAGAGTTATGTGGAACACTATTATCATTCCATCCACTTAGATTGAAAATAGTGTGATGTTCTACACTAACTTTTTCACTCTAAAACTTTCACCTGGGAGAACACTAAAATCTTTTTTTACTGTGTAGGTAGTTTCTAATCCAAATTTTAAAACATTAATTGGTTTTAATTGGTTGAAATGGGTTTGGCGGCAATTACTTGTTTTTTATTGGATTCTAATGGTCATTTACAATAGGGGTACTGAGGAAAAAATTGCTTTCTTTGGCGTAAACTTTTATCCACCCAAGGGATGACAACTTATTATGTTATTTTAGAAATACAAATTAAAACTGTTTTTCATGATTAATTAATTAATTAAGTTATTTTAATGAATTAAAAAAATAGTTAAGTAATTAAAAAATGATAAATTTATAAACGATTTTTAAAATATTATTTTAAACTAAGTAAATTAAACATTATATTAATAATCGTTAAATTAAGAAAAATTGTATTAAAATATCTAAAAACCCTACAAACTTAAATGGAATATACATACATATCTATAACATTATAATGTTTTTCTAATCATATTAAAGAATTTTAATATTTCCTATACGTTTTTAATTGAGAAAGTGGCTTAGTCTTAAACTGTGAAGAAAGTTGATCCCTTTATCCAAGGGTAATATCAAATGAGATGACGGAATTTTAATTTTCTCCGCGTTATTTACTAATTTGTCATCGAATCTGTTGTTATGGTAATTACTCAAAATTGTTCGAAATTCTATAATAAAATTTGACAAATCGCTACCAAGGTTCTAGGTGCAGTTAAGCAAAAATACCTAATCTGCAATATTTAATATTATAGATAAGTCACTTTCGCTTAACAGTGTAGCTGCACTTAGAACCTTCTCATTCCAGAGTAGGTACCGAAATGTCCATTTCTATTCGGATGGATTACTCGACTCTCCTTCGGCTTGTGTCGCAATATTTTATTTTCATGTAAATGGCCAACTTTCTTAATCATTGAACAATATACTATATACTATTTTTAAATAATAAAACATATTAAAAAATTTATTAATTCAAAGCACTTTATACAAAAGTGTTAAAGGAAAAACCTTTTTACTATAGCCTGAACTACCAAGGGATGACAACTTATTTATTGACATCCTGTATGAACATAAAAACAATTAAAATTCTTCCACAACTAAATACGGGGTATTCCAAAATGATAGACAAACTACATAATTAAGTAAATTATTATTTTTTAAGCGTGATATTGTTCCAAAAATAAAAGATATACCAAGTTATAGTTTCCAGATGTATAAAATATTTATTTTAAATCAATATAACTTTGTTATTAACTAATAAAAGTACTTGTTTATTTTGTATTATCCTTAATATTTACATTATTATAAATTCGCTTTGATCTTTGAGTAAGAAAAGGAGAGAGGGGGCGTCAAATTAAAAAAAAATGAGCACATTTGTAGGTTATGTCGAAGGCAAAAGACTATAAGGGTAAGGAAGCGTGCTGTTTTATCAATTGGCGCCATTCTTTAATTTTTTTTTCGCAAAAACACAAAATAAACTTGGTAACCTCGAAGCGACGCCATTTTTTAATTCACTTTCAGCACACTTTACCACGCCTGTGTGGAATCACGCGTTCATTCTCTTTAATTGTGCAAGGTTTTAATCAATTAATTTAAATAAATTGTCTTAAAAATTAATATAAAAATATTTATTAAATACTAAGTTAGTACACCATTTTGGCGACATTCTGTAAATAGTTACAAATTTAATAATTTATTTTATATGTATTTTCATATACTATGTACATAAATCCGAATTTCTAACCTGTTTAACTTATTATGGACCAAACTATTATAAATAAAGCATGTATAGGACAATATAGCAATAATATAAAGTAGTTAAACAAAATGTAAAATTTGATCTAGACTAACATGACCAGAAAATTTAAATTATTTTATAATTTTAATTTTATTTTAGTAGCAAATATTTAACAAACTTTACCCATTGTCATGGATTTATAGCTGTAAATAAAGTGATTTTTTAAATATTCTTTTTATTTACCTACCAGCTGAATGCCCGCGGCTTCGCTCACGTGGATAGAAGGAAAAATTTAACATTAAACTAATTCACAAATTAAATCTTTTTAATTTTATCTATCTATATATTTATCTCTCCGATCCATAAACTACCTCTATGCAAAAATCAAGTTAAAAAAAAACAAGAAAACAGCCAATATCGAATAATAACAAACATATCTATCTTTACGCATAAAATAACGTCGATCCGTTGCTCTGTTGCTCCGTTGCTGAGTAAAAGAGGAACAAAAAAGGAGACCACATTGGCATTTAAAAAAATATATATAAATGCACAGTTAAATTTTAGCCCTTTAGGTCAAGCGGTTTGGTCTGTGCATTGTCTATCACTTACGGAACTGTAGATAGATTTGGATATTTGCAATTTTGGCGAATGCACCGGGATTAATATCTTACATTTCAATGTGGTTTCGACTAAAACGATAAAAGGTATGTATTAATACAATTTTTTTTTTTTTAATAAGAACTTCTTGTATATTTATGTTGGATTTGTGCAGCACACATTAACATTAAGTTAACATTAACATTAAGTTAACATTAACCTAATTTAAGGTGGGTATTTTATGTAGCAAAATTAGTGGCAAATTAAGCGTGCGTATAAGTTAAAGTAATTTTGACATATGACATGTTTGGTTTGTTTGGATTTTGTTTTAACCCCGTTTTAGCATCTGTTAGGTAAAATAAATAAACTATAAACTGCACGTCAAACCACAATTCACACATGTGCGTCAAGTAATAATCCAAAGAACACAATCATAAAAAATTAATCATTCAGCATCACGTTTCATTTTATTTTAGGGTATGTTGGCATTACTGACACGGTTTATTTAAAAATTGCTCCGTATACCTGCGCAGGAGGAATAAAAATTTACATTATCATTAAGAAGGTAAATTTTACATTATCAAGATAGAAGATAAATGTTAACTTAATATTAAAATTAATGTTAATGTCTTCCAATGGATTACGTTCATTTGACATCTTAATAATAATGTTAATGTTAACTTAATATTAATTTGTACTGCATAAATCCAGCATAAGGAAACCTAGTTTTAATTTTAGTTTTGAAAGTACTTAACTTATTTAATAAGTTTTATCGTTGATCTTAACTCAACCGTTTTATACAGGGAAACAATTTGGTAATTCCAGAATATTAATTAGTAAGTTATTTTAAACATTAAATTATCTTTTCCCAAACATCTTTACCATTACATCAAGGGAACATCTAAAATATAATAGATAAGACGCATCTGATAAACATATGTTTAAGAACAAAGTCTGAATATCTTTTGCCGATATTGAAAACATGTTTTTTTATTATCTTTTTGTTAATATCTTTACTCATATATATTTGAGAAACATGTACAAGATTATTTTTACCAGACAAGTGTTTACCATTATATCAAGGGAACATCTAAAATATAATTTTTGGTAGATAAGACGCATCTGATAAATATCTGTTTAAGTTAAAGTCTGAATATTTTTTGACCGATATTAAAAGGATATGTTTTATTATCTTTTTGTTCATATCTTTACTCATATATTTAAGAAACATGTAAAAGATTATTTTTTACCAGACAAGTCTTTACCATTATATCAAGAGAACATGTAATTTATAAATTATAAAAGCCAACGGATGAATATATTTTCAAAGGCAAAATACGAATACCTTTTATGGAATAATAAAAATATGTATATTACTAAATTTTTTATAAGGTGACCAACTTTCTAAAATGAAAAACCAGAACACAACATGCCCCTCCTCGCCCTTCTAAAAAAATAAACTAAATTTATTTTATTTATTATTTATTATTAAAAAAAAAAGATGTGCTAATAACGTCAATAATAAAAAATTACCCTGAAGCTACTCCCAAAATTCTGATTTTTAAATTAATTTTTAACCTGAGCCCCGATCACTTTTATTAAAAAAATTAGAACAAATTCTAAAAAGTGGAATAAACTTAAAAAAAAAAATATTTCAAACGAGTTTTTTTTACTTTTTTAATATATATATATAGAAAATGTATAACTTCGCCCACCCTTGGTAGGGCCACGAAGTTACATATAAAGTATCTTGCTTTTTCGGCTTCTACAGTAAAATCTCAATTTATCGTGATTGTGTTAAATATTGTCCCAATTATTACGTATATAATTTAAATAAGCTAAAAACTTTCAATCTTTAAAAATCTTTAAAAATTAATTTAATAATCTGATTTTTGGGAGTACCTTAAGGATATTAAAAAAGTTATAACTGTTTAATAATTGAAATTATTTTAACCCGTGGTAAAATGCTACTTTACCCTCTAATGGGAAAAAAAAGCATTTCGCCCATAGGCTAAAGATATCTTTAAATTAAAATTGAAAAAACTTGACATATACATGTGTGGCAGGTTTCAATTGTCAAATAAAATATGAACTTATATTGGCTTTAAACATCTAGCGTCTTAATCGTTTCGGTTCTTTAATTATTTATAATTCGTTTTTACACTGTTATGTAATTTTTTGCGGTAGTTGAATAAAATATTGTATGCGACTATTGGTCGAAAGAGGAGATCCCACTTGCTTACTTCACGCTCAAGAAATCTCCTCTTTCTCACTAGTCGCACAATAAATAAATATTTTTAAACTAAAATGAATAAAAACGTGTAATATAATTAGAACTTCTAGAAGGGTTAAATAAAACGATTTTTATAAGACCTTATAGTGCGACTATTTACTTAAAACATAGTGCTTTTTACATACATAAAATAAATAATAACTTGCGATTGGCTCAACAAATATTCGTTACATCTGGATATGTATATGACTAAGGTTATCACTTAGTGTTACTAGGCATACATTCACATCACCTTTCATAGTATAACTATATGATTAAATAATATAAGCAATTTATTTTACATATTTTCCATTACAAATGCATACATTAACACGTTTTTTATAAAGTGTTTGCCTGAGCAAACCCTAACATTTTAATTTTTATTAAATTTAACGATAAAACAAATAACTAAGGATAACTAATATCACAATTAAACTTAAATATCAATAAACATCTACAAACTCGAACACTTAATAATATTTGTACAAATCTATTACCTTATTTTATACATCAATATAACACCTAACTTTAATTTTATTACCGAGTGGTACAATAGGATCAATCATAATAATTATTATAATGATATAATTATAATTATTATATCAATAACATTACATTGAAATAAGTTAAATTAATTAACAAGCCTACTATAGTGCAAAATCAATTAATTCATTTAAATCGAACTGTTGTTATAAAAATACTTAAAATATTGGGTAGGATTACATTTTTCATGATCAATAACCAGAAAACATTTTTAAATAAGTATATTATGAACCAATTAGGTTAATTTATATGTAAAGTGACTAAAGTCTATTTAAATTCAAGCTGGACTAAACAAAAACGCCCAGACGCGTGATAACTCGTTTCTATTGGTCGATTCTGATGGTGTGACTCGGATTGTGAGCTCTTATTGGTCGATTCGGAGGATTGTGTTTACATTTAGTCCAGCTTGAATTTGAATAGACTTTAGGTACAATGGCCCGTTGACATCAAACTCTAAACTTCCTTTGAGGACAACTAACCTTACTTTCGGTTATTACTAGTCTTGTTATTTTGATAGCGAAAGAAAAAATGGTCAATATCGTATCTTTGCTTTATACAGATTTATACATGGACAACCAAATTATGACGTTCAAAATTCCGTGTCCACCACTGTACCTATAGGTACAGTTTATATAATATATTATATATATATTATGTACATTCTGATTATGTTATTGATATGGAACTGAACGAAAATTATTTCTCTTTATTAATTTTAATAAACTTACCCTAAGCCATAGATAAACCTATGGGGCACTATAAAAACTATACTTACATTGTATATATGTCAAAGATTTGTCATTGATATATTTATACAGTATACTCCGTAATAGCAACTTTTTAATGCTCCTTTCAACCAAATTCTCTTGATTTAAATTAATTTATTTTAATATACTATTTACTATACATTTCTAACAAAAATAGGTTTAAAAACAATAGTCATATTTAAAAAATAAGTTTTCAATTTTAATATTATATACCTAAGAAGATTGTATGACTACAATTTTATGAAAATTGTTATTTCTACTTAAAAATGATATGAGATTTATAACAGTAACATTTAATGATGTGTTGAGGTCGTATAAATATGATTTATTTAGACAATGCTAAGTGTATTTAAAAAAATTGTTTTAATTTTGTTACAATTTTATATAGTTAATATAAGACTTTAAAATTCACCTCAAGCAACCTCTCAAAGTGATATGAGATCGTTTTTAAGTCGTTTTTGATGAGTTTTAACAATTATGTTTTTTACCAGTCATAACTCTGAGGACCAGTCGTTGTAGGTTGCTGACATTCTATAGATGTATTAGGTTCTGGATACCCACACCTTTGTTGGACAGAATTAGTAGTTCTCGTCTAGAATGAAACAACTAATTAAAAATATTTATTCTTCAAAAATAAAGATTTTATTACGCATTATAGGGTTTAATTTTTCTAGATAAAAGTGATATTAGAACGGAGTAGAAAAAATAGTATTTTTCCTTTACGAATGCGTTAGAAGGATCAAGCAAGCATAGTAAAAGACAAAGGATGCAATATTTTGTATTATAAGGCGATATGAGTGATGTTTTAAAATAAATAAAGCGGCCATATTTGAAATGTTCAATTTGTCTATCATTATTAAATGTATTCCATGAAGATTGAAATTTTATCTTGAAAAATATACGCCTTAACAACATTTGGAAATTATCAAATTATACTTTTAAAAAATTCGTTTTTCGTTTTTAGATTAACTTTTTTAATATTTCTTCTAATAATTATTTATGTTTTACGTGATCGTGTTTTGTCGAACTGTTTTTTACCTATACGTTCACAATGCATTTAACCAAAAAATAATTAAGCAGTTTTTGCCAATATTAAAAATAGGTCCGCCGAGAGGGGGAGCAAAAGGGACACATTGCCCAAGGCCCCTAAGTCATGGGGCCCCTGGATTAAAAAATAATTCAAAAATTGAAAACAATGAATATGTTTATTAGTCAATTTACTTTTTTTCAATAGTAAAATATTTTATATAAAATAAAATATATTTATAAGAAACCCACAATAACTTGATAGTTCAAAATAAAAATTTTCCTCCTTTGGTAAAAATAATTAAGTGAAATTATAAAGTCGAATTTTTAAGTTACCTGGACTGATTTGTTTTTATGTGGTATTAGAGGTGCGTGGTTGGCAGTACTGCAGGGTTTCGCCTGCTCGTCAAGGCAGTCGCAGTCGACCAACCCTTTAAAACTTTATGTACTGTAACTTTAAAATAAAGAAAGAATATGGTACCTATATAAATTAAATCAAGCTTAAAGGTCATAAAAGCATATCTTAACAGTTTCCTTTTATTTTTCAATACAGGCAATTATTTTCATTAATTTCTAATTGTTTTATTTATTATTACAGCATTGATTTCAAGGCATTATGCTTATCGTTAAAATACAATCTTAGGTATACAAAAATTTGTTTTATGCCTTTTATTGATTGAAGTTTTTAATCCGGGCTCTATTTGTTACTACTGGGGCTTTCCACGTTATTCGGCAATTTTTGTCCCGCCCGTCACAACTAAAAATTGTGAGTAAAAACCACAGGTTATTAAATTAATATTTTATTATATTATTTTTTATTGTGCTTATAAGCTTATTACAACCATAATAAACAATATTTTAAAATAAATTTTATAACGTGTAGTTTTTACTCACAATTTTTAATTGTGACAGGCGGGACAAAAATCCCCGAGTATCGTGGAATGCCCCTTCTGTCTAGGTGTACTATATAATTTTCAATTTTTTTAGTATTAACTATTGTGTGAAAAAAGTTATCCTTCCTTCCCCCCACCACCAACATTTAGATTCTAGTTAGGGGGCCTCAAGAATTAAATTTGCCCCAGGCCCCCTATATCCTCTCGGCGGCCCTGATTAAATAAAACATCGTTTCCAAGACGATCACAACATTTGAGGTTTGAATCCAGGAGTTGCTCTTGTCTAATGACCCGAAAGAAGCTTTGATTTAACTCATTTTTTGTGGAGTTATCTGAGGTATATTATTGATGAGCTAAGACTATAGAATCTTTATTATAGATAAATTTAATATTTAAATACCATGTGTACCATAGACAATTAAATAGAGTGCTTTTTATGTTGTTTTAAATAAATTAAAAAATTACAACTGTCAATATTTGTTTTTTTTTATTTGGAGATTAAGTCAATTTTCGCTTTTACAGTTTCTCTTTAACATTTTATATTTAAAAGTAAAAAAATAATTTGTATTTAATACCCATTTCATTTCTTTACTTTAACCTGTGGGCGAAATAATACTTCACCCACGGGCTGACGTTAGCCCCGTCTTAGGCCCCCTATACCCTATCGTTTCCAAGACAATCATAACATTTGAGGCTGTTTGAATCCAGGAGTTGCTCTTGTCTAATGACCCAAAAGAAGCTTTGATTTAACTCACTTTTTGTGGAGTTATCTGAAGTATATTATTGGTGAGCTAAGACTCTATATAATCTTTATTATAGATTAATTTAATATTTAAATACCATTTGTACCATAGACAATTAAATAGAGTGCTTTTTATGTTGTTTTAAATAAATTAAAAAATTACAACTGTCAATATTTGTTTTTTTTTAATTTGGAGATTAAGTCAATTTTCGCTTTTACAGTTTCTCTTTAACATTTGATTTTTAAAAGTAATAAAATAATTTGTATTTAATACCCATTTCATTTCTTTACTTTAACCTGTGGGCGAAATAATACTTCACCCACGGGCTGACGTTAGCTTTAAGTTAAAATTGGGAAAAAGTGAGGTTAAAACTGCTTGACAGCTGTCAGATGTCAGATAAAATTAAATTCCTTGTGGTATTGCGACTACTGGTAAAAAAAAAGATATTCCACTCGCGTGTTACCGCACTCTCTACGCTCGAGGAATCTCCTCTTTCCCCACTAGTCGCACATTTATCAAAACTCTTTAAAAAAGTGTCTTAACTGAAATCTTTTATAATATAAATGGAATGATCTGTGATTTACTTACTTCTTACCTGATATCCAGGCCCAGAATTTCTTTGCTGACCGCCAGCATTGTTTGATTTAAATGGATTAGAACCAGGTAAATCCAAGGTACCACCTTGCCCCACCTGGTAAGTGGCACCATAGCCATCTTGCTGCGCCATCTCGTGCAACTTAGTACTGGACAGAGCCCTGGGTATCGGATTGCTTGGTACCCCGTGCGGGGCCAGATGCGAAGTTTCTTCGGCAACTTGTCTCGGGTCTTCAGTTTGGGGGATATCGGATACGAAGCCTTGATCGACACGATAGAAGTTGATAAATATGAATGCAGCCAAAACCAAAAGGCAGATAAGACCGTATCCTCTGAAGGTAGCTGTAGATCCGAATGAGCTCACAAATAATCCACCAATCACAGCGCCGCATCCTCTACCAAGACCGTGATGAATACCTTGAAGAACACCTTGAGCGGAAGATCGTAGTTCTGGAGGTGTATTGTGGGCTATGTAAGAACAGCAAGCTGCCCAGACAGCAGCATGAGTGATTCCCTACAATTAGTTTATTTAGGGTTTTAGAAGATAAATTTAATTTTGTATTGCAACTTTATTTCTTAAAACATTCTAATTAATTTTACTATTATAAATTTAATCATGGCGTTGACATAATTTTAATAAATAAATATATTAGATTGTTAAAAAAATAGAATAGAATAGAATTGAATAGAAAGTACAGTATACAAGCTTTTTCTGTGTACAAGCATATAAAAATCCATTATGGACGTGTATTAACATTGTTCAACAATTGAGAAAGTTGAATTACTCCACTTGCCATCGGCTCGTGTAGCAATATTTCATCCCCATTAAAATGACCATTTCTTAAAAGTTAAACACCATAGTTTTTCTAGTTTTATTAAAGAATCGACATAATTTGTGTTAAAATCGTTGAAAAAATAATTCAATTATTCAATTATTGTAAGTAGTTTTTTCAGGCTTTCACATTTTTCTCAAAAATACTACTTAATACTGTATATTTAATTTCATACCTGCATGAATTCAAAAGGCAACACCCACCATGGATTGGACACCCAAGATATATACAAGAATCTTAAAGTGTTAACAATCAACCCCAAGCACAACACTTTTACGTGACCAATTTGACGGATTAACCTAAAACTGAAGAAATACGCGAAAATCTCGGAAATGTGATTGATGACGGAAGCAACTCCGAAGAGAGTTGGCGATCCACCGTAATCCTGGAGATGCCAGAAGAGGAAAGTAAAGATCAGACCGATTCCGAAGCCCATGAACCATGCCACGAAAAGGAATGATGCGCACTTCAGGTTCTTGAATTGTTGCAATACGGTTACCCATTCTGGCATTTCTCTTGTTGTTTGAGCAAATATATTGGTCTAAAAATATATATAATATAATATTTTCGTGATATTTAATATAAAATTATATATAAGGTATACCTTCTCCTCGCGTGGTAAGTTGGAAGGGATGTCTGAAGCTGTGGTATCAGCTAAAGATGGCAGCTGTAGCTGCTGAGCAAGCTGGGCTTGCATTTGATCCTCCCTTGATAGTTGAGCAGGCTTTTTCTCAGGATCTTCTATTATCTACAATAAACACATTTTATGTAAACACACTTTATAATAATATATATTCAGTTTAACGTATGGAAGCCTAGTAAAAATTGTTGCTTTTAATTAATTTAGATATTAATTCATAATTAAAGTATTCGTAAGGCATAATTACCAATATATTTAAATACAATTTACATTATAAATTTACATATACTCATTTTTTGTTCATGTTTTCACACTACTAGGACTAATACTATTTTTTTAATATAGATAATACTTAAACAGTATTATTAAAATTTTATACTTCGTGTAACGCTCTTTATTTTTTAAATAAATAATAAATAAAAAATATTAATTTTATTAAATTGATGTAAATATTTAAAATTTTAAATAACTAGATTTAAAAATATAAAATATTAACTGTTAGGTACCAAATTTATGCCACAGAAAATAGACTATAATTAATAAGCTATTTGATGGCTGAATTCGAATCCGACCATAGAATTGCTTTGTCACGTCAGGTTTTTAATAAATTATAAACCAAAAGTAAAAAAACGCGTTTTGGCACATCACGAAATATCATTAAACCATATAAAAGTATATTACTCTTTAAAATTCTTTTGATTTTTTTTTAAATCTTTTCTACTCTTTAAAAAATCCTTAGATAACTAAACAATTGATTCATTTCGATCATAAGATCGAAATTAATCAAATTTTTACCAAAACCAAACTCAATTTTACTCGAGATTTCTCGAAAAGAAAAAATATTAAAAAATCCAAAAGGATTTTGAAGGAGTAAAGTAGTAACTTCAGATGGCGTAACGAATTTTGTGGTCATAATTTCAAATTTTGAAAAGAACAGAGTTTTTCCACTTTTGGGTTGAAATTGCTTGAAAACATGGTGTGATAAGCAATTCTGTGAGTTCTTTAATTTATGTGTATTGTCAAAATTTTAAGATCATTCTGATTTTGAGATTTTAAGACTTAAAGTTTAAGTAATAAGTTATTACTAAAAACATTGTATTTAAAACATTAGTAATAATTACATCAATAATTGAATATTCTGAAGTAATCTTGCAGGATTGCCCCAACTGGGCGGCAAATCTCATATTTGTAATATTTATATTTTAACTCGCTCAAGAAAAAATAAGTGTAAATGGCTTTAAAACAACTGTTTAAGAAAAATAAAATAAAGTATTTAATGCCTTCAATTTTGCCCAAAAATTATAATAAACGGTTTTACAAGTAATTTGTTCGGCAACAACTACGAATGTCGAATCCGGTATAGGACCTATACTACAGGTGTAAAAGGCATTCCTTTTTAGAAAGTGTGTTTAAAAATCTAATAACACATTTCCGAAAACTTTGCGAGGAAATGCGAAAAAGTATCCGACAAAAACTCAAAATATTATATTTGCCTAGTGTTTTTCATTTTGTCAGTAAGTTTGTATGAGAGTCGAAAAAGTTTTGAATATTTCACCGCAAATGATTCGAAGTTAATAGTTTGCTTCTTGAAACTTGTTGCGCCATCTCAAAGACCACTTTTTCCATTCCTTTTTTATGTTTTAAATATACTTTCTGCTCTTCCAAAAAGAGTTTGTGGAAATTTATTTGCTTAGAGGAAGAATTATTACTCTACAATTAAAATCATGACGTTAATTTAAAATCTGTTAATCCACTTTTTTTACCTGGATATCATTTAGCCATGTTTTGTCGATCTTTCACTTACAATGCCGTAACTATTTATAATGGATTAAGCTCAGATTTAAAATTGTTAAAAGCCAATAAATGTCGTGTCAAAGTTAAATCATTATTTTTTTCCACTCAATAAATCTATTGAGTTAGCCCATAATAAGTGTTATTGTAATTGTAAAATTTGTAAGTTCTTTACTTTTGTTTTAGTATAATTAAATATAAGATATTCAGGATGTAATTATTTTAAGTTGCATAATAAGAATAATTTTGTTATTTTCAAATTACCCACCTACAATATTAAGTTTTGTAATTTAAAAAAAAGGATTTTTGTTTTGTTCTGGAATTTAAGTAGAATAGCACTGGCTAGACGTCGTATTATTATTACCAAGGACCGGATTATAGGGAAAATGCCTTTTTGTTTCTATTTTAGGCATTTGTTTGTGACCTTGAAATTAATCCTAAACTTAAAAAAATAAAGCCGAGAATGGCGAAATTTTAATTTATTGTCCTAAAAGGACATTTTTATGAGCCTATAATATGCTCATTTAATTTTTCAGAAAAAAATATATATTTTTTATTGCGAAAAAGTAAATTATTTTTAATTAGACCCTGCTTTCTTGCTCTTATTTCGCCTAGACGTCCTTGGCGAGTACGAGGACCACAAATTACAAAACTAGTGAAACCCTAATAAAAAAGTAAGGTCTGCTATATCTAAATATTTATTATAAATACATATAATTATAGAAAATAATAAGTATATATATATACGACGCTGAACAAAACATATAAACAAATACAAACAAAAGCACTTTACATATATACATATATATTTTGTTTACTTAAATCAAATGATTTACCTGAGGTGGGATATAGTCATCATACTTGAAGTTTATTTGCGTGGCCGTGATTAGGGCAGCCCCCATTAAAACAGAAAACGTGGCAAAACATATCGTGTAGTTCTTTTCCTTCTTCTCCGGTCCACAGGGATGGTTGGGAAAGGAAGTAGAGTGGTCCAATGCTATGCCGACGAAAAACATAGCCAAACCCCAACCCAACGAACCAAACATCCTCTGATGACCATAGCAATCAGCGTCTTCGCCCAATAAAGTTAGTACTGCAGAGTCGGCAAGTGTCACTGCTGGTGCGCTAAAGAATTCGCCGATGATGACTAGAAGAAGTAAAAGAAAGAAGGCTTTTTGGATATCCTGAGTGCGATAAACTATAGAAGATATGATTGGTCGCACCCAACTTTCGTGTTCTTTTTCTTTGTAGTTAGAAGCGTAATTTACGTTGATAGGTGATTGTCCGGCATTGAGAATTGGTCTAGCAGACCTTACTTTTCTGGAATACCTAAAAACAATTTAAAAATGTGAATCAGTTTTTTCTATATACCAAAATTGTGTACTTGCTTTTACACAAATTTTATATTTGTACATAATAGTCATTTTGTCCGATTTAAATAAATATTTAATATTAATTTAAGAAAAACATTTATCATAAAAGATTTATCTACAAATAACAAAATTAAAAAGAGGATTTTATTTTAAATTGATAAAAAATTTAAACATCAATACAAATATTTTAAATAAATGACTTTTATTTTATTTTAAATCACGACGTTTAGACTGATACTCTTCATCTCCATTCGCCTTCAGGTGAATACTGAATGAGTTAAGTAGCTACGGGTCAATTTATATTCAAGCCGAGTGCACTGGAGCATCCAGTCGTCAGGTGAATACTGAATAAGTTAAGTAGTCAATTTATATCTAAGCCGGGTGCAATAGAGCATTCAAGGAAGTGTATTGAAGCATCTAGGTGACGAATCCATTTATGGTTTGATTCCAAGATAAAATTTTGTTTTACAGCGGTTTCCAGACATGCCTTATGTTTACTAAAGACAGGGTTCTGATGCATGACCGCTGCTTCCTTTAATATAGTTCTTTGAGCAAAGTATTTGCTTTTGACCACCTGACATGGTGACTATAAGACCAGGCGTAGTCAGTTAAATTGTTAATGTGTTGCAGAAACTTCAGGGCTTTGTCATCGTTTTTATCCCAGATAATAAAGGTGTCGTCTACATATCCTAATTTAACCCTTTCAATTTGCTTTTTTCAGTGCTTCGGATTAAAACCATTTTATATAGACGTTGGCGATTATTGGTAAAAGATAAGCCCATCGGTAGTTAAAAAAACTATCTTTTTCAGCGATCATGCATCAGAACCCTTGACTGATTTAGTAAGCCTTCAGTGAACATAACAACTGTCTGGAGACCGCTGTCTCGTAACATCCAGATGCTTCAATGCGCTTTGTTGCAACTGGATGCTCCAGAATACCCGGCTTGAGTAAAAATAGACCAGTAGATACTTAACTTATTTATACTTAAAAAGATGACTGGATATACTTACCAGTCGAAACGTCCTGACTAAAAAACTACGGCAATGGAAGTCCAAAACCTTTCTACAACCTTTAATTTATAGGCTTTAAACAAACAAAAATATGTTTAATATCAACCATTAATATGAATGCAAACCATTCTATTTACAAAGAGCATTTGCAGTTGTTTTATGAATTTTAGAAGAATCTTCGTGACTACTTTTCTCATGTATATTTAAAAATAATGTGTGCTGTATAGTCCTGCTCGCATTTTGTTACAAAACATTAGGTATACCTACGGGTGCATGAAAAAATACTGCGTGAACTTTAGGTGTCATAGGTATTTTTAACATAATGTAAGTCTCTTTGAAGGCATACATTTTCTTTTCGAAATCAGGATCCAGATTTTTACCAAAGCAGGTTAAAATAACACCCCTAAATCTCATGTGACATCGTAGAAATGTTATTTGAAAATATGCAATTGGTGCAAACACTTTCGATTTAAAGTTGATCGAAGCCCACCGTGACGACATACATATTTTAGTGTTAGACAATGCAGTTATGTTCGGAATAAGATATCGTTAAAATGTCCAGCATGACTTTGTTGACACCACAGACACTGTTGGTCTGTGGTTGACACTGACGCACCCGATCGCTCCAATTTCTGATCACTCTGTGCAACAATTCCGGCTGTATTTCGCCAATTCTCTTTAAAGTGATCCAAAGTCTGTGGCTTGTTGCCATAGACTTGTGCTTTCACATAGCCCGAAAGGGGAGTCAAATTACTTGACCTTGGCGGCCAATTCACAAATCCTCGTCGTGAGATGATCCAATCGCCAACCCTTTCCCTCAGCAAAACGAGCATATCAGATTTATGCTGCCCAACTATGGAGAAAGGCAGTAACTGCTAAACAAAAAATTTGGAAAACTACATTTTTATAAAAAGCAGTAAGTATTTAATTGATTTATTTAACTTATGAGATAGTTTACTGCATTTCTTTATTAAATTAATGAACAAAATGTCCAGCTTTATCATAGCACAAGAAAACGCATTTAGAATTTTTTTGTAGTTACTGCCTTTCTCCATAGTAGGGCAGTATGGCACGTAGCGCCATCTTGTTGAAACCACATCTCTTTAATATTGATGGTCTTAAGTTCTGGCCATAGAAATTCGAGAAACATGGTCCTATAGCGGTCGCCATTCATGGTTACGGTTGTTCCATCCTCATTTCGGAAGAAATAAGGTCCGATGACGCCGCCAACAGCACCACGCAGTGAGTTTTTCGGAATGCAACGGAACATTATGTAACACTTCTGGGTTGCCCTCGCACCAAAACCGGCAATATTGCTTATTAACGAAGCCATTCAAGCAAAAATGTGCTCCGTCTGAGAAGATGATTTTTTGGCCAAAATCAGGATCGTGTTAAAAGTGCTCAGGGGCCCAGTCAGCAAACTCTCGACGCAATATCTGGTCAGTTGGCTATAAGTTCTTGAGTTAATACGACTTAATAAGGATGCAACCCCAGATCCTTACTCATTATTCTCCAAGTTGACGTCTGAGAAAGCCCCAGTTGTTGCGATCGTCGTTAAACAAATTTGGCTCGTCACAACACTGGCCGCTGCAGCTGCAACGTTCTCATCACGTCGTATGTTTAGTCGTTTTTTGGAGGTTTATTGTCTTGTAAAGTTAACTCACGTTCAAAATTTTTCACCTTGCGGCTTATAACCTGATGGCGACCCAATTCCCGAGTAAATAAACGTTGAGTACCCACAACTGAGCTACCACTTTGGTAATATTTTTTTATTACTTCCAACCGATCGAGAGGAGTCAAACGCTGCATCATGAAACTGCACACTATACTAAATATATAAAGTAGAAACCACGAATATATGAACGTGACTCATCCGACACATTCGTACGAAGCAATCTATCGAAGGTCACGGTCCAGTGCAGTCCCGTTTGTAAAAAAATTTGAGTGTAATGTTGGTTGCTATACTTATGATACATTTGCTTTTAAAGTTAAATAATTAACATCTAACATAATTAACATCTACGATAATTAAATAAAATGTAATTTTCTTAGAAACTAATCATCTGATGACAGAACGTACACTCGTGGCGACATCTCTGATTTTAATAACAAATTTTTAGACCGATCCAACCTCACTTTCTTCCAATTAAATTCTTACTAAGAATTTCTTAGTATAGTCTGAAACACGTTTGGAATTGCATATTCCCCTCTCGTGAAACCGTCAAACTTGTTACAGAATATACTATTCTTTTAACTGTAAACGCAAATATTTCAGAATTGGTGACAAAAAACAAAAATGTTTACGCAGGTCAGGTACAAAGTGAAAGATATTTAAATTGTGTGGATATAAAAACAACTTTCGTTAGTTTCACGAAATTTATTAAATATTGACAATTGTTTCGCTACACAGTAGTTTCTTCAGAATGTATTAAACTAATACTAGTACAAAATTTATATAATAAAAATATTTTTGTATTCTAGCCTAGAATTTCTAGGTAAGGATTTTTATACGACATCTACCTGTGTTACATAATATAAACCACTGCCACTACAACGTTTAAAACGATTATTAATCCGTAAACACACAGTAGAAACACGATATGCAAAAACAAAGATCATATGACATATAAAAACAAATGGCCGACGGTAAAGTTGGTTGCCTTACTATGTAATAAAATAAAATAAATGCCTAAAACACGAACTCTACTGAATATAAGTAACAAGCTAGGACACGCGTCATATGTCCATCTTTGTCCAACACCTAGGCAGTTTTACATCACAGATGACGCATTTTAGACCGGATGCTTAAAAACCTACGTGTGAGTACATTTACCGCTGCATCGAATGTACAAGACAAGTAAAACATTACTGCTAGCATGTCTGAGATATGTTCGGCACCCGATGAGTCACGTTCATATAGTAGTGGTTTCTACTGTACACCTGGGATTAAAAAAAATATGTATTAGAAACCGAGAAGTTTCTATTTAAAAAACACCCTTATTGAAAGACCCTTTAATATATTTTGTGACGTTCTGACTTGATTATTGGTTTTTACAATGTTACGCTGTTTTTGGTAATAATGATTTATTATTTCAAGGTTTTTGTTGCAAATTTGCGTATTACGTCATCCAGTTACTCAATAATTATCAGATTTTGGAGATGATGGCCCCTTTCACTCTTAGTTAGATTCGTTTCTTCTTTACATAGGTGATTCCTTGACCTGTGGTTAGTCCGCCAGATCTGCTGTCCTTTGTGCTAATTACTTCCGTGTCCGTATGGACTTTATCCCTTTATTCACTTGTTGAGGCACTAGTTTAATGTTTCTATTAAGACTTTGTAGAACAGGTACACTGATTTTACCTGCACAGATAGGAAAACTAATTCCGCACAGTATTTTCCTTAAACTACACTGTATATGAGCGATTTTTTTTCTTTAAGACTTTTATTGTGGTTAGGTAGTTAAAAGCGCTTGAGCTCTAACACATCTGTTCTCCTTCCCGCCTGTATTGAAGGTGTTACCAACGAACTTTACTATTAACACTATAAACTATAACTTTAGCTACCAAGTAATAATAATACCATTAAAGCCTTTATATTCCTTACAGTACAAAAATGTAATACCCAATACCAACATATACAACATATAAAAATATATGCATACCAAAATTTATATAAAATAAAACATACTTTCATCTTCTTACCTTACTAAATCTACAGGATCATCAGTATGGTATACAAACTCAGGTAGTTGTTGGACTTCCACAGACCGTTTGTTGATCATCCTCATACCAACACCAACATCGGGGGTCTTTAATATGGCCGTATTGTTTTTGATTTCCATACAAGAGGTGGCTGGTGGTTGTATGGATCCTAACGGTACTGTAAAAATAATCCACGAGGCCAAAGAAGCCAGCAGCAAAAGCTTTCCTTTTTGCCACCTGTCCGCCAAACTTCCCCAAAACGGAGCAGATAGAAACTCCACGAATGGTCGGCTGCCTATCAGAAATCCACACTGGCCCGCGTTCATGCCCATTTGCTTAAAATATACGCCCATAAGAGGAAACAGAGAACCGAAAGCGGAATAGAAAAAGAAGTAAAAACTTTTCACCACTAAAAGTTCTTGATCTACAGGTCCAAATAACCTTTCAAGGACGTCGGATTTGCCCCGGATTTTGTGCGTTGCTTCTTTTGGTTGGGGATACCTTAAAAAATAATATAACACATATTATTATGTTATATGTTAAAATTGTCGATATATATTTCTGTTAAAATTTAGGTTATTTATTTAAAATCAGTCATCATCTTCTAAAATGTTTATGTTTTAAGGGCATCTATTGTTGTATGAATTTAAAAAATCATAAATTAATATGTTATAGGTATGGAAACTGAATATTATATAAACTTTATAAATTTTTCTTCATGCATGTTCCACTATAAAAAAAGTTATAATAGAATAGTGATTTTTGGTAATTTGGTAAAAAAAATTGTTTATATTTACATGTATAAGAATATATTTAAGTTCATGAATAATAACACTGTAGGGAGGTGAAAATATCAAAGTTAAACGCTCGGACACGTAAACTTAATTTTTGGTCGTAGATTACAAATCCTTGCTTGGTTTATCTGAATCAGGTCAATTGGTCTGTTCCAAATAAAAAAACAAATTCTTGCAAACTTTAAGGTTAATTGATTAAAAAGAAAATGTGGTCCTGAGGGTTTTTTTAGATAATTTATGAAATTCAAATTTTTTTTGCTGATTTTTAAAGTATAATTGAGGATATTATATTAGTTTATATTAAATGAACTAAAAAGCATAGGAATGTTGGCACAAGAGGTAAAATATATTATTTTACAAATTATAATATACACTGTGTCCCCGGATCGGATTGCCAATAGGAAAAACTTTTTTAGACCTGAAACAGGAATCTACGACCAAAAATTATGTTTACGTGTTCGAGCGTTTAGCTGTGATATTTCAAAAGTTTGAAATTTACCTACTTACTGTTTTATTAGATATGGGACCCACGCCAAATTTATATGAGTTTATAATGACGTTAAATACACAAGTTCTGCTCAGGCAGAATTTAAATTGAAGTTTACGATAAAAAGATAACATTTTGCTCGGCCGTACCGGCCCCATGGCTCCCCCAATAAATATAATATAAATTTAATTGGTGCAATTTATTATTTACCATAGTTTAACGACAAATTTCAAATTTCATTTAAAAAATCCAAATCATACCGATTTTATATCATTTTAAATTTTTATTATTTTTTTTTGAAAAGAAATATTTCGTGTTTTTCGATACTCTGACTTAAAATGCTCAAGGCTGGTGGATTTTGGGTATACCAATATCTCAGTTAATCCAAATATTACAGGTTTTATACCATTTTAAATATTTTTTTTTTATTTTAATAAAATAAATAATAAAAATTTAAAATCGAATAAAATCTGTAATATTTGGATTTTTTAAATAACATAAAAACGCCGGGACACGTAAACCTAATTTTTGGGTGTAGAATTCAGTAGTGTAATCAGTTTTTCAAAGTTAGCTCGTTTTCTTAAGATATTTAATATTTAAATATGTAAATTTTTTGGTTTAATATTTGTTTATATTTTTAGAAATACCAAAAAGACACAAAAAACGCCGGGACATTTAAAACTGAATTTTTGTGTGTACAATTCAGTGGTGCAATCCGTTTTTATAAGTTAGCTCGTTTTCTCAAGATATTAAATAAGTTTTTTGTTTCACCATTTTGCTATATTTTTAATTAATTATTCAAGAACACTTGGACACCTTGAATTCCACTCGAAAGAATTATGTTGGCAGATCTTCATATTAAACTGGGCATTGTGAAGAATTTTATAAAACTTTTAGTGCGCGTAGATGAAAATGCCATGGGATACCTGAAAAACCCAGCATTCCCCAAACTTTCAATCCAGAAGATTCAAGAAGGTACACGGAGAGAAAAATTTTGCCAAAATAACTATCCAAAGTATTGTTAAATGACGTATCGTGAATTTAGTCAACTGTTTTATTAAACTGAGGATTTGTATGGCTAAATTAGCTATACAGATCCTCAAATTAATAAAACAGTTGACTAAATTCACGATACGTCATTTAACAATACTTTGGATAGTTATTTTGGCAAAATTTTTCTCTCCGTGTAATTTTAATATTTAACCTTACTTTAATCATTTTTCTAAAAATTTATTAATTTTTAGGTGTACTTAACGGCCCTGATATCCGAAAACTTCTAAAAAACGACAGTTTTAATAAAATTTTGAGTGAACCAGCATTAAATACATGGGAGTCGATCCGTGCGGTGATCAAAAATGTGCTATGCAAAAATCGCTTCAGGTCATTTGTTGTATTCGTTGTTGTATATGTCTTTAAAAATAAATATTTTGCATGATCATTTTGATTTTTATGAAAAACAACTTTCAACCAAGACATTTGATGTTTAAATGAGGTTTGTTTTTAAATATTTCTTAATTAACTTAATTTTAATAGCTTTTTACCATAAACTGACAAAAAAGGTTTATTATTTATAAATATAAATATAAATAAAGACATTTATTGTTTTTATCAATTTGTTCTTATATTTTTTACAAATAAATAAATTTTAATAAAGATAATTTAAGAGGGATAAATAAATAAAAACATATTTAAACACAAAATTTGAAATATCTTGAGAAAACGACCTAATTTTAAAAAACGGATTACACCACTGAATTCTACACCCAAAAATTAGGTTTACATGTCCCGGCGTTTTTTGCGTCTTTTTGGTATTTCTCAAAATATGCACAAATTATAAATCAAAAAGTTACAAAAACTTAAATATGAAATATCTTAAGAAAACGAGCTAACTTTAAAAAACTGATTACACCACTGGATTCTACGCCCAAAAATTAAGTTTACGTGTACCGGCGATTTTTTGTGTCTTTTTGATGTTACTACTGTGTAATTGAGATATCGGCAAATGTGCGAAATGTCTAGATACCCTGCAAACTGACCAAATTACCGGACGTTGTGCAAAATCACTTCTATTTTAGGCAGTCTGCAAATTTACTACGCTATTTTAGTCAATTTGCAAAATGTCTGATGCGATAGTCAATCTGGGGATTAAAGGTTTACTCCTCACAATGACTAGGCAGTTTTTGCAATACTTTTACTTCTGTCGCTATTCAGTCAGAGATTCATAATGGCGAGCGGGAAGAAAGGTATATTTTTAGAGAAATTGAATGCAGTAAAAACCCAACTCAATCCAGCCATTATATAAACAACAAGTGTTTGTTAATTTAATTTTTGTTCGTAGTTTTTCTTTTTTAAAAACAAAATTCAGTTTTTCAATTTTACATTTGTGTCATAAATTAGTGTTGCGCACACTGCCTAGTCAATGCGAGAAGTAAAAACCTTTAATCCCCGGATTGACTATCGCATCAGACATTTTGCAGATTACCTTAAAAAGCGTAGCTAATTCGCAGATTGCCCAAAATGGTACTAATTTTGAACAATGTTTGGTAAATTGGTATGTTTGCAGAGTATCTAGACATTTCGCACATATACAAATACTAAAATTTACTCAAAAAGTATAAACATTTTCTTAATTAATATATTTTCAAAGTATACTTTAAAAAGTATGTAGAATCCAATAATTCAAAAAAATACAGAGTGCTCCATTGAAAATAAGAAAGTTGGTGTCGTTCCTGGGAAAACCAGACACCCTGTATGAATGAATAAATAATTTAAAAAAAATCATTTAAATCAAAAAGTTTATGAAATAATTATATGGCCCATCTTACGTGGACCTCCCTGTACATATACATGTGTATGTTGCAGGGACGTATTTATACCCCCCAAAAGCATTAAAATAAGTTATTTCTTATTAAAATTTGGCAAAATTTGAACAAAAGCCCTCCAGTTTTTTTTGTGAAAACCTTAATGTTGAAGGGTAAGGTAGAGGGTTTAGGGCTTTAGGGTTCAAGCCTTTAAGATAAAATGTTTATGTCGATTGTCTAATTTTTATAAAAAAAAATTAAATTAAACAGACAATAAAATAAAAAGGTAATAACTAATAAGGTAAATACTGAAAAAAACGTCAAAAAAATACACCCAAACTACTTGAGTGGAACCTGAATTAATAGTCTTAAAAAGTTTAAATAAGCAGAAGTCACACAATCATTTTTAAATCATAATATATGAATAAGGATAATTATAAATTTTCTGCATAACGGAAATAATGAACAAATTATTCCCGTTGTTGGTGATTGGCCGATTTCAATATTGATTTGAACCAAACGGGTTTTAAATTGGGAGAAGGCGACTATAATATCATTTAAAATTGTTAAAAAATGAGGTTAACCATTTGACAGATGTCAGATTTTATTTAATTATTTTTGAAAATGATATAATTATTTACTTATTGGAGTAAATAAAGTATAGTATTACACTCGATATTATGCGCATTATCTCTTGTATAATAATATACTATTATACATAGAATGAGTTTAGAGATAAATATCCCTAAAGTTATTATTTATTTATTTAGATCATCTTATGACTAGATGCTGTATATAAATTATATTAGCAATTTATTATTATCATTTTTTAGAAAAAATTTAGTGAGGATTGAAAATGTAATAAAACTGTTATTAAAGCTCCAATTTAAAATAAAATTAAAAAAATAAACACCCTAAGTTATAATTTACTTTCGAGTAAAACATGGACTTTGTTTTATGTTTGGTTGTTTTGTTAATATTACGTGTTTAACTTTAATATAGAACATAGGTAATTATGATTTAAATAAATAAATACTAAACATTAAATTAAATACTTAGCCTAATTTCTTAAATGAAATAAGGTTAACAAAAATTATACTGTAAATTGGTTTTTATTATTGTAAATATTAAATTATATACCAAATGAAATAAAATTATTATCCTAAATTTAAATTAAAAAAAACTTGTTCATATTCATTTATTCCAAAAATGTATTCTTAAATTACACAGCCATTGTAAAAGTAGACCTTGACACCACGATATATATCTTAAGACCTATGGATTATTAAAGTGTACACTTATAAAACCATCGAAAAGAACAACCACATATGTTGCACATAAATCCGTTCAACATTAAAAACAAATTAAATGAATAGCAGTGAAACAACATATCCAGCCTTACGTAAATAAACATATGTTATCTAACAATTAACCCCTTGTGGTCTTACATTGAAGGATCTACTTCTCCTTGAGCATCTGGATCCACGATGGGTCGGACTCCCGGTTGGGGTCGAGGGGCCTCTGCGGTTGCATACTGATAATCGCCGCTTTCCATTTTTACCGCGATTTACGCGAAACCGTCACCAAACTCAACAACGTCTAACAGGCCGCAGGAATCGAACGTTCTCCTGCTGGATCTCGTGGGCTTCCGGATCAATAAGCGTCGCGCGCTTAAATTCCTCCTGCGATGGCGCCACTTTCCGATCCTGAAAGAATCACCTGTAATAAAGTTTACTGTAAAGGATAATACCTTAGTATCCTAATGGGATTTATATTGAAGTGATTTAAAAATTGCGCACCAAATTTGAGCTCTTAATTTTAATAGAAAGATCCTAATCATCACAGTTTTTAAATTAATTAAAATGTTTAAAAATTCTTCAAACTTTGATCTTGAATATCTTTTAAATGGTTAGAGTAATCGCTTAAACGCATTAGTCCTGTTTTGTAGCGCATTCAATAAATGCTACAAAAATATGTATAAAGATTTAATTAAACGGTACTAGAGAGACTAAAGAAAAAATGAAAACTGTGATCAGGAGGATCTTCCTATTCAGGGCCGCCTCTAAGGTTTTGGCTGCTCGGGACAAACTTGAAACGGCTGCCCTCTCGAAATACACCGCCATAAAAATACACTACAAATATTTGAAAACATTTAATAAAAGGTAAAAATAAAAATTATAGTAAACTTAAAAACTCAACACAACAAAAAATATATTAAATATAACAAATTTTGTATATAAATAAAATATTTTATTTTACATATCGCTAATATCGTTTAATATGGTTCTATCTGCCATTATCTCAAAAATTAAATTTTTGCATAAAAAGGTTCTATGTACAATATAGAAATCTTTGATCTTGATAGAACCATGTTAAACCAATGTAGCGATATATAACTACATAGGTAGGTACATAAGTTATAGCTAATATAGCTAACAACAAACTTAAAAAAATTCTTTAATAATTAAGCAAAAGTAAAAAATACAAATTTGGGAAAAACCCAACATAACTTGTTTATAATATATACACTAGTGGAAAAAATTAAAGGGTCAAAAATGTATTGTATTGTTAAAAATTGCCGTATCGAACTTTGAAAAAAATCAATTTGGAGCTTCAAGTCTCTAATTTTTGGGCCTTAAGACGAAACATTTTTCCAAGCAACAAGTATTGCGCAATCCTAATGAATATCGTGAAGAAAAATTTTCAATTTTTTTTTGTTTTTTATTTTCTGCGTACGGACGCATTATTTTTTTTTACTAAACCACTATGTGGATCGGATAGGTTGTTTATCCAGCTTTAATTTGTTTTTTTTGTAGGCCTTGATACGACCATTTCTCGCTGAGCTATCGGGCTTTAAATAAAAAAAGGATCATTTGAATTTGAATTTAAATCAATTGATTTTCTTTGCAATTTTTTACTAAAAATGTGAAAAAGTGGAGATAATTTTTTTTTTCATTTTATTAGAGATTATAAGCGTTTGAGAGTAAAAAAACCTGATTTCATTTAAAAAAATTCAGTCGAATGAAACAAAAAATCGACTGGATGGATCGAATTGAAACTTGATAGGTAGTCTTTTTGTGGGTATATTGAACTATAAGAGATACACTTAACATTAGTCGTTTTTTTAATAATCACCATTCCGCGTGTGATTTTCCCAAAAACCTCCAAACCCCATTTTTTCAAAATCTTGTTACGAATGGAAAAAAATTGTTTTGAAAAAAGCCGAACCTTCAAGTTTCCAAAACCGACCTCCAATTTTTTGTGCCACTATTGGTTTCTGAGATATCGATGATCAAAGGAAAAATTATCCATTTTCATTCAAAGCACGATAGCTGGATAAACAACCTATCCGATCCATATTGTTGGTTAGCCCGTACGCAGAAAATAAAAAAACAAAAAAAGATGAAATTTTTTTCTTCACCATATTGATTAGGATTGCGCGATACTTGTTACTTGGAAAATTTTTTCGTCCAAACCAGGACCAAAAACATGCGAGTGCGGCTTCCTTTTAAGATCTAAGAAAGCCGCACTTCTATTTAAAAACTCATTATAAACATACAAAAAAATTAACTCCAGGACTGCATTCTAAACATAATAAAAAATAATAAAAAAACTCAAATGTTCATATTCTATTCTTATTTGTTTTCAAGTTATAACGAAATTAAAAAAAAATCAAGTTAAAGCGAAATATAAAAAATAAATTATTATCTAACGTAATTTAAACAAATATGGATATAAAGTTTGTTTCCATAGTTATACAAATGGTTTAAAATTAAAATTCTGTTTGTAACTGTCAGCGTCAGTTGTAATTTTTGAGTATAATTTTTTTTAAATGTCAAAAGTTTATTTAAATTTAACGAAGTGGCTATTTATACGTCCGACGTATACAAAATTTGGTATACGTCTTGAGCTTTCATTGTTGAGTTTGGGTTGGTTTCGCTCACTGTCAATCAACTTAAATGGGCAAAAGTGAGCGAAACCAACCCAAACCAACCCAAACTCAACAACCCAACCCAACCGACCCCGCCCCATTGGCCCCCCCCGCCCAATTTTTCAACGAAGGAAAATTCATATAATTACATATTATATTATATAACTGTAGCAAAATTAATATTAATGTAAAATTAAATAATATTCCTTTTCGCTATATAAATAAAAATAAAAAAAAAAAGTTGTTGGCGCTAAGAATCGAACCTGGTATCTCTCGCATACAAAGCGGGCGCTCTTCCATCGGAGCTACCGAGCTTATTGAATAATTACGTTTGTTTTGAAAATAATACCAGTTTACAGTGTGTGACGTGTGAAGCACAAGACGTATACCAAATTTTGTATACGTCGGACGTATAAATAGCCAGTTTGTAAATTTAAAGTATGCTAATATGGTTTTTGTTTATGGCTTCTGTAATGGCAATGCCACAGCTGCTGTAGAAGAATATCGGCGACGTTTTCCACGTGAGAGGGCTCCTGACAAAAACGTGTTTAGATATTCAAGTTTTTAACACTTTGCGAGACTGTAACTCTTCCAATTGACACTTACTTGCTAAAATAACATCTGAAAAAGCTGATCGACAAACTTGGAAAACATTTTGGATCTAGTGGAAGAAGATGCAACGACCAGCACAAGAAGAATCGCTACTCAATTGGACATTTCACAAAAACGAGCACGAGCACGAGCAAGGCTTATACCCATACCATATACAAAGAGTACAGTTTCTACACCCGGAAGATTATGCTTAACGTGTGGAATTTTGTCGGTGGATAACTAACAATCGTTGACTTGTATCGCGCATACTTTTTAGTGATGAAGCAACATTTACCCCTGACGGCATTAATAATACGCACGTATGGTCCGACGAAAATCCCTATGCTATAGTCGAAACCAGTTTTTAGCACAGGTTTTTAGTAAATGTGTGGTGTGCTAGGATTGCTGGGTATTTAATTGGCCCTTTTATCATGGAGAATCGCATCACAGGGGAACACCACCTTAATTTTTTAATAAATGATTTGCCAGGATTGCTAGAGAATGTAAACATAAAAAGGCGAATGTACTATCAGCTTGAAGGAGCCCCTGCACATTTCGCTCGTGAGGTCAAGCAACACTTGGATGAAATGTTTTCAGAGCGTTGGATTGGTCCCTCCCCTGAGGTCCAATTAGTTGGCCTCCAAGAAGTCTAGATCTAATACCACTAGATATTTTAAACAAATGTTACCGTTTCATTTTTTTTAATTACGTTATAAATTGAAAACAAATGAGAATTAAATAAGATCATTTGAGTCCTGGAGTTCGGTGCGATCCTTCCGATTCACCCTGTATATGATTACATCTGTTGACGTGTTTTGCCGCCCCTTGATCTTGCCGCCTTGAGCAAGTTTCCTGCTTGCCACCCTTGCTTGAAGGCCATGTTTACAATACGGTAGATACAAACACATAGACCATTTAATTGTTTCGCAAAAATATAGCTTATAGCATTTTGCATTAGAATGTTATTCCAGCATTGCATTCATTTATTGTATTAATAAAGTTTTAAAGTGTTTTCGTCTATGCTACATGCTTAATTTCAATTTCTTATAATCGTACTCCGATGCAGATAAAATTGTACAAATCTGTCAAAGATGAATTAAAAAGAAGAGCGGAATCTGGTGAGAGTAACTTAACAATCAAATATAAAAATGGTATCCCGTCCATAATTCAACAGGAAAACTAGAATTGCCCAACAGATTTTCAAAAACCTTATCCCTATATTATCAAAATACACGCGGTTTAAACACCAAAACAAATACTTTTTACAAAAACTGTTCTAGTTACATCAGAGTTTGATATTGTTTGTATCACTTGGTTAACTAACTCTGTTTTAAGCTCTGAATTATTTTCTCCTAATTACACAATTGTTCGTATGGATAGAAATTTCACAGCCGTCAACCGCTCCCGTGGGGGTGGTATATTAGCAGCTTTTTCGGATAATATCCAATTCTCCCAAATTGAAACATCAGAAATATCTTCATTAGTTCCCTTAGTGGACTTACTTATCTGTGAATGTAAAAAACCATTTAAATTTAAACTATGTTTACTGTATATACCTCCCAATATATCCTCAAATGACATGCTCTAGAACCATTTCTATTGAATGAAAATGTCTTAATAATAGGTGACTTTAACCTACCAAACTTTTATCATCCATCCAACTTAAACTGCACAAAAACTTCTTATGTAAAACTATTATGTAATATTCATCAACTTATACAATTCAATAATATATTCAATAATGATCAAAAGTTGCTAGACTTAATTTTATCAAATCTCGAAAAGGACGTTGATGTCAAGCACTCTGATTTTTCATTCGTTCCTGAAGACTATTATCATCCTGCTTTATGTGCAACCATAACATATACTGGTGTTACTTTAAACAACTTTCCCATAAACAAAATTCATACGTACCAATTTAAAAAAGCAAACTTTATAAATCTTTATAATTCTCTTATGATTACAGACTGGTCTTTCTTGAAATAAAACACACTTTGAAAATGAAAAACTATTACAGAAATAAATGGATACATACAAAACAACAACATTATAATTTAGAGTTTAAGAGATTAAGAACGTTATCAAAAAATCAGATACTGAATGCCCATAACGTGTACCTAAATAATATACAAAATAATATAAAAAATAATCCAACTGAGCTAGGGAACTATATTAATCAAAAGAAAGGAACAAGTAGAATTCCTGAAATACTCCTTTGTAATGAACAAGAACTTTCTGATCCTATAGAAATAGTAAATGCCTTTGCAAATTTATTTTCTTTAGGTTTTAATACTGATCCGATTACATGTGACTATAGTTCAAAATCAATTCCTTTATCATTTAACTTAAGAAGTCGATGTGATTAAAGTAATGGAAAAACTGTCCAATAAACTAACTGCAGGTGATAATATTCCCAGCTTTCTTATAAGAGATTGTAGGTTCGCTCTTGCCAAACCGTTATCCATAATAATTAATTTATGCATTTCCACCTGTAGCTTTCCTGACAGATGGAAGATAGCAAGAGTAATTCCAGTATTTAAAAAAGGTGAGAAAGCACAAATTTCTAATTATCGTCCAATATCCCTGTTATCAAATTTTTCCAAGGTTTTTGAAACCATCATATATAATCAAATATATTTTAACACTAAACAATATGTATCTCACTACCAACATGGATTTGTATCTGGCCGATCAACAGTGACCAACCTTGCATCATTTACTTAGAAAATTTAGCCAATTCATTTGCGAGTCCATTGATGATAGAACTCAAGTTGACACTATATATACAGACCTATCGAAGGCTTTTGACTGCATAAACCATGATCTTTTATTGGATAAGTTATCTAATCTTAATTTTTTCCCTAATTTAGTAAGACTTATGGCATCATATTTAAAAAATCGCAAAAATTATGTATATTACAAAAAGTTTTCTTCCAATATTTATCTATAATATGTCATCTGGTGTTCCACAGGGGTCAAATTTAGGGCCCCTTCTATTTAATTTATTTGTTAACGAACTTCTTCTGAACCTAACTTGCCCCGCTCTTGCTTATGCCGACGACATAAAGATATACTCAATTATTAAACATCCTGATGATGTTAAGATACTTCAAAATAATTTAACCTTCATATCAAATTGGTGTCGTTTGAATCAACTTAAGTTAAATGTTGATAAATGCTTTATTGCAACATATACCAAAAAGAAATTTCCAATTTTAGCAACGTATGCTGTAAACAATGTCAAATTACAAAGAACAGATTTAATTAAGGATTTAGGAGTTACTTTCGATATTGGTTTTAGTTTTATACCACATCTAAATAGCGTATGTTCATCGGCTGGTAAAATGCTTGGATTTATCATCAGATCCTCCAAGGAGTTCACTGATTTAAGTATAATAAAAATGTTATACTTTTCGTTTGTAATTAGTAAATTAGAATATGCAAGCCTTATTTGGAATCCTTATTATACTTGTCATATTCTTGAATTGGATTGTATACAACGCAGATTCCTAAAATATATGTCGTTTAGATTATATGGAACATACCCTGATAGAGGTCCTTGTTAGGACGATCTCTCTCTTCATCTAAACATAAAAGATTTAAAAACAAGACGCCAAATACAGAATACCAACTTTCTTAAAAAACTTCTACACAACCAAATCGACTGTCCATATCTTCTGTCCAAATTAAACATCAACGTACCTAGAATTAACTCAAGATCATTCAATACGTTTAAACTTCCAACTTCAAGAACAAATTTGATGAATCGAGCTCCAATCAACGTGATATGCAAAAACTCCAATACATGCGATATATTTAAATAGTCATTTATTTGTGTATAAATTGTATATATATACAATGTAAAATTTGGAATATTTACCTACCATGTATTTTGTCCTGTAATTGGGGGAAACCCTGTTGGGCTAATAAAGTTTATTATTATTATTATTATTAATTTTAAATGCCATTTTAAATATTACAAAATATTCACAAAAAACACTAACCTTAACCCGTTATTCTGTAACACGTTTGAAATTGCATATTTCGCTCTCGTGAAACGGTCAAACTCGCCTTCGGCTCGACAAATTTTTCACTCGAGCTTAATATGCCGTATTTCAAACTTGTTATAGGATATAGGTACTATTCAAAGTGTTTATAGCATTACGTAAAAAAACGAAATAAAATGCAAATTTATAGTTTTTAAGTCAATTTTATTTCAACATTTTTTATACTTTTGGTTAAACACATGCTGCATTACTTAAATCGCCTAACAAAAACTGATCATTTGTAGAAAAATTCATTATTTCTGCTTCATCTTCGCCCTTATTCTTTTCAAAAGCTTGATCTTTTTTTTAATAAAATAGTGGCAGCAAATAGGCAACTTGTCACTATAGTTTTTTAGTAACTCCTATGAATAAGGCCAAATGCATGTCACCAAACCAAGAAGATCTACTAATATCACTTACTAAGGTCTATAAACATGCTTAAATGTGGGTGCATTATAGGTTTTTACAATTACTACATACCTATATCAAAATAAATATATTAATAAATATTCCAAACGTAATTCTTTCAAAAGTATTTTATACTTATGAAACTAAGGAGTATAGGAATGAAAGCAATTTTTTTAAACTATTGATGGTGTTTCTTTTTGATCCTAAAATAATCATCTGTAATAAAGATTACTGTAAAAAGGGTATCGTTTTTCAAATTTAAAATACCTTATTTTATTTTTGTATAGTGTAAGTTTTTCTTATTAAATTATTTACTGTATATCCAAATAATTAGCTTCTGTGTTTATAGTCTATGGCTTAAAAACGATACCCTTTTCTAAATTAAAACATATTTATAGTTTTTAATCCAATTTTATTGCTTTTTATTATTTTTAATGTTATCCTCAAGTATTATTGGAACTGTTGGCTGAACGCTTGCTGCATCACTTAAATCAGCTACCAAAGACTGAACATTTACCGGCAAATCTATTTTATGTAGTTCATCTTGTGCGTCTTTATCTTGTTCGTCTTTATTTTCTTCGATTACTTGATCCCTTTTCGTTTTTAAAAAAGTTATTGGTATCAATAAAAGTCCACTTAAGCAAATACTACAACCAGCAAATAAGAAACTGGCCTTGTAACTTCCAGTATAGTTCTTTAAGGCTCCAGATGTGGGAACTCCTATAAAAGAGGCAACTCCTTGAAACAATAGAAGTAAACCAAATGCATTTGTAAGTTTTTCTAAACCAAGGAGATCCACTAATATCACTGATTTTAAGGCAGATAAACACGCTAAAAGGTGGTTTTATTATATAATTTTACAAAACAATTACCACATACCTATGCTGAATCCAAAGAACACTGAATAAACAATCTGCCATTCAAATGAGTAAAAATAATTTGATGCTATAGTAACCAATCCACAAAATATCGTGCATACATAAGTCACTGTTAAAGCATTTATTTTTGGAAATGAGGATATTATTCCACACGTAATTCTTCCAAAAGTATTAGATACTCCAACAACTGATAAAACCAAGTAGGTCATGGATGCTGGCACTCCATTTTCTGATGCTCGTAATTCGCTAAATACAAAAGGTGTGTAGCATCCTAGCAACGAGAACATACCACTAAGAAGTATAAGGATAAATGCAACATTTTTAAAAAGGCCAAAATCTAGCATTTTTCGTAATGGGGTCATAACACTAACTGGCAAACATTTTAGATACTTTCTTTCTAAATCTTGCTGAGTAGCTACTTTTGTTACAGACACGTGATATTCAATGGCTGATTTCTTAAATAAGAATGATATAGTTATATTAACAATGCCTTTAATTATACCTTAGTAGATGGTCCTGCCATAATGGATCTGGAGTATTCAGGAACAGTATACAGAGATCCAGTATAAAAAATGTCTTCTCTATACATAGGTCTATTTTCAGTGGTTCTTCTGGCACAACTTAATTTCTCACAGCATTCAAAACACTTGACTTTTGTTCTATAGCAACATAAATTGTGATTGATTTCTTGCTCATCTTCTTCGGGAACTGTAAACAATCTATCAGAATTTATGGATTTTAGACCACTTTTATCAGCTACACTTGATGCACTAGTGCCTGTTGCACCTATTAGGTAAGAATTATCAACGGAAGCTTTCTTGTCTAAAGAGGAAATCATGGAAGAAGTAACATCTTGTTTTGAGGGAAATAAAATGCTATGGAATCTTTTAAAAAAGTTCTTATTTTTTTCGCCTTCATTTTCTATGTGAAACGAACCTATAGAGTCGATTTCTTTAATAAACTGTACTCTTTTTTCTTCAGAGATATAGATGTTTGTTGGTTTTAATGGTTTAAATGTTATACACAGAAATGAACAGCAAAATAATGAAGCTCCGATTATTTGAAATTTACTTCTCCAAGTTAAACTGCCAAGTAACTTGGTGGCTACAAAGGGAAATACTACCATGCCAATTGAAGAACCACAAACTGCAATTGATGTGGCCAAAGCACGCCATCTTTCAAAATAGAATCCCACTACTACAAATGACGGGGTAAAGATCATATTGAAGCCAATTCCTCCAAGAATTCCAAGCACCAACAAAAATGGAGTTATATGAGTTAATAATGATGACGCAAATAAAGCAATGCTTGATATAATACTTCCTGTGATTCCAATAGTGCGAAAGCCAAATCGGTTCATAAGAGCACAAGTTACGGGACCAAGAAGAAAGTAAAACCCACTCATGATGGAATTGGCTATCGCCACATAATTTGGAGTTGCTTTTAGTTCCTCACCGATTTCCTCCAGAAACATGCCAAAAGAGTACATACAACCATCCGTAACAAAGTTGCACATAAACGAACTAAAAACCACTACCCATCCCCATCCACCATCAGGCGGAATAACGACCCAGTTTTCCACGTAGACTTCATCGTTTCGGTCTTGTGTCTTGTGGCTGGCTACGGGTTTTACTACACTATGTGATACGGAAGTCGTTTTATTGTCGACTTCTGCAGGTTCTACTTTGGGTGGGTTTAGGTTAAAGACACTGTTAACCAATTTTTTCATACGTTCATAATTTTGTAAAATTTTGATGGTAATTTTTAAATTAGTGACATTACTGAAGTTTGTTTATAAAATCATTTTAAAATTTGTTTTTAAAGAGAAAAGTCCCTAGATATATTCTATTAATATTTTTTAAATTAATTATAATTTCAATTATTAGGATTTCCTATTGTAAAGAAGCCCTAGTCTTCAAATTTAAAAAAGTTTCTTTAAAATTAATACTTAACTTAGACAAGATTTAAGTCAAAGGTAAAGTTCTTTTTTTTATTTGGACTGCGGCAACATTGCAAATGTAAGGTTTTGGTTGGTAAATACGGAATCAGAGAAAGTATCTTAAAGAAACTAAGAAAATTGAATGTTTACCTTAATGTTTAGCCCGGTTGGGTGGAACGCACTCAAAACAAAAAACTTTGGCGAGGTGTAGGTTCATTTTTTTTCCTTATGAATATTACCAGTAATGGGTCAAGAAAGTTTCTTAAAAAAAGAAAATTAAAGGTTTAACTTAAAAGAAAATAACCTTTAAAAACGTTTTTCTACTCCTATTACGGAATATGACCGTTCTAACATCACTTTTAATGTGGAATTACATATCTTTCTTAAAGTGTTACAGAATGAAATATTCTATCATTGGATGACGGAATAAACACTGGTGGCACCATCTCTGTGTTTATTATCTAACAACTTTTAGACCGATCCAACCTCACTTTCTTCCAATTAAATTATTTGTCTATGGTAATTTTTGGAAACATATAAAAAGCATGGTCTGAAACACATTTTGAAATGCATATTCCGCTTTCGTAAAACCGCCAAACTGGCCTTCAGCTCGTGTGACAAACTTTTCACTTGAGCGGAATATGCCGTATTCCAAACTTGTTATAGAATATACTAGCTAGTACAAAAAATCACCAAAACTTAAAATAACAAACATATTAGTTAGGAAATAAATATAAAAACGTATGGTATGTATGGAAACAAAATTCAGTACCGTTTCTAGTAACGCAACGATACCGAAACAATATAGGGAATCCCTATTAGGGATTCAAACGAAAAGTATCAGATGCCCAGATCCCAGCAGCGTGGGTAATGCAATTGTAACAAAATTGTCAGGCATAGGAACGAAACTGGAAACAGACTCGTGGTGATGAAGAATTTATTTCATGTAGAAAAATTAAAAACAGATTTTTGTAGTGTAACTTCTTTGTGAACGGGGTAAACCAAAACTTGGCGTTACGAAAGTTGAGACCTAAGAGCATGAAACATTCTGAGGCAAAAGGTTAGTAAACCTCGGTCAAATGATGAGTGACTTCAGAAAAAATATATAAGGCACAGGTGGTAACATGTCAAAGTCGAACCTTATAAAAAAACTTATATGGAACCTTTTTTTTATATTCTAAAAAGGCTATCTTCTAAGGAATTAAAAGTCTTATATAGCTAAGAAAACCTAGTGCAAAAACGACTTTTTGACGCCCCGAGAGGACGACTGAGATTAGGCTTGCCAGATTCAGTAAATAATAATTACAGAAAAACAATGCAAATTGTGAATTTGACGTTACCTAAGTATTTTTGATTGTGTCATTTTTGTAATTAAGGTAAATTGTCACAATTGCATATTCTTGATTTTATTTGTATCTGTATTTGTATTTGTGTTTTTGTTTGGAGAGTGCTCATGCATGAATATTTAAACATGGGTAATATATTAGCATTATTTCAAAAGGATTTATCCTTAGAAGAAAAATAGTGTTTTTATGTTATTACTAGGGATGGGATTTTAGTTATTTTACCTTTTTTCAACCGATGTAACTATTTAAAAACCAATAATGCCAAAATGTGTTTTAAAAGACTTTCTTTTATATGAACCTAACTTGTTTTTACCTTTTTTGGAGGTTTTTGCTTTAAACTACCTTTTTATACTTTTGTTACCTATTTTTTTAACTTGTTTTCACCCTTTTTACCTTTTTTGGAGGTTTTTGCTTTAAACTACCTTTTTATACTTTTGTTAAATATTTTTTAATTTGTAATTTTTTCTTATGGTCACAGACTGTAACAGTAACTTTCTTTACAGTTACCTTCTTTGTAGTGAGCTTATGTTCTGTCATAGAACTTTTGTGTAGTGAGTGTCACTCAGTGAAACATAGTTTATTGCATAGAAATAGTTTATTGTGGGTATGTTCTGTGTTTGGTTATGCGGCTAAACAAAATTATAAACAAAACTGGAACTTTTAATGTTTTTTTTACCTAAAATGCTGTTTTTTTAGTTACCTATTTTTCAGTTTTTGGTACCTAAATATCCCATCTTTAGTTATTACCTATTACGCGGGGTGAGGACCTTAGATTCCTTAAAAAGGATGATGGAGGGTATACTCAGACACCGGTAGAAACGCTTAGGCTGCTGATGAAGAGCAACTACCCGGACTTTTCGGAGGGACCTGTGACGGGGAACTATACCCGCCGGGTAAGCTCGGAAAGGTGTTGGGGACTGGCAGCCAAAGTGGTTGATGCGAGGAAGGGTAAGGCTGCTGTGGAATCTTTTGAGCTCTACAAATCGCCTGGTCCCGACGGTATCTACCCGGTTGTCCTAAGAGAGAGCCTGGAGGTGGCGTTGAGTGCGCTGGTGGGGCTCTTTAGAGGGTGCATAGCGGTCGGACACACCCCGGAAGAATGGCGCAAAGCCAAAGTTGTATTTATCCCAAAAGGAGGCAAAAAGGGTTATACAAGTGTAAAGGACTTCAGACCAATTAGCCTTACGTCCTTTCTCCTGAAAACTCTAGAGAAACTGATCGAAAGGTTTCTGAGAGCGGGTCCTTTGAAAGGCTTGCCCTTTCACAAGGAACAACACGCTTATCAGAAGGGTAGATCCGTGGACACGGCACTTTTATCGGTTTGCAACTACATAGAAGAGCTACTGGAATGGAAGGGCGTTTGCATAGGCGCCTTTCTAGACATTGAGGGGGCGTTTAATCGCACCTCAAAAAACGCCATACGGCGAGGTGCAGAGGAACATGGAGTGCCCGAGGGCATTATCAAATGGATAATGTCAGCACTATCGGGTAGAATTCTCAGCACTAGCTGGCAAGGTCAACAATTGGAAGGCAATGTGTCAGAAGGATGTCCGCAGGGCGGAGTTTTATCCCCACTACTGTGGTGCTTGGTTGTAGACAGCTTGTTAAAGCTGCTAAACAAAGACGGCATACGGGCTATTGGTTATGCAGATGACATTTGTCTCCTGGTCAGAGGCCCACATGAGGAAACACTTAGGGACCTAATCCAAGGGGATCTTAAAAAGGTACTGAGGTGGTGTGCTGAGAAGGGACTTAGTATACAGGCCCAAAAGACAGCGGTCGTAAGGTTTGCGAGGAAATACAAACTCAAAAAACTGGCAAACGTTACGATCGGTCAGCTGCAGATTCCCTTTTCTGAAGAGACCAAATATCTGGGAGTCATCCTAGATAGAAAGCTCTTATGGGGAAAACACTTGCAGGATAAATGCCAAAAGGCAATGATCACCTTCTGGCAGTGTAGAGGGGCCATGGGAGCGAAGTGGGGCCTTGGTCCACAGCAGATGATGTGGATCTACCAGGCAATCATTGTTCCCAGGCTTGTTTATGCAGCACCGGTCTGGTGGAAGCGTACTTTGCTAAAGACCGCTCGCGGAATGCTGGACAAGGTACAAGCAGCTTTTCTCAGAGCTATATGCGCTGTGAGAAGAAGCACCCCGAGCGCAGTGTTAAGAGTCTTACTGGACGTTCCGTCGCTGGCTTTGGAAAGCAAGGCTGCGGCGATGCGAGCGGCTTACAGACTTCACTGTGTGGGTGAATGGAGAGATAGCTTCATACATCTGAAGCTTCAGAGAAGCTGTCCTAAAGAAATATGGAATATGCCGCAGGACAGGATAAAAACCCAGCTAGCTGAAGGGGTGTGTTTCAAGGTACATATCCCCAGTAGAGAGCAGTGGGAGCAAGGCTTTGGCCCAAAACATGGAAGCATTTGGTTCACAGATGGGTCAAAGACGAAGGAAGGAGTGGGAGCCGGGTTCTGTGGTCAAAAGTCGGTGGACAGCTTTGTCTACAGACTTGACAGACACAACACGGTCTTCCAGGCGGAAGTTCTCGCCATAAAAGAATGCGCGAGGGTTCTGTCTGAACGAGGTACAGGTGGAGACATCTGGATTTGCTCAGACAGTCAAGCTGCTCTAAAAGCCTTGGTTAATGAGTCTTTCTCATCCAAGCTGATAGAGGAAACCATCCTGGCACTCCAGCGAGTCGCCAGAGGGAATCGGCTTAACCTTGCCTGGATTCCAGGTCATGCCGGATGGAAAGGCAACGAAAGAGCCGATAGATTAGCAAAGGAGGGCACCACTCTATGTGGTCCTCAAGAGAAGGTAGTGGGCATGCTGTTCAGGGAGGGCGTAAACCTCATTAAAGCATGGACAAAGCGCCAACAGGCGAGAGAGTGGCAGCAAAGCCCGGGATGCAACACAGGCAAGACCCTTATGGGCAGCGGTGTAGAAACCTGGTCGGTAGAGCTCCTGAAGCTGAGCAGACCAAAAATAAGGGCTGTTGTGGAAATCGTTTCCGGCCACAACAATCTGAACAAGCACAGATACGTGATAGGAAAGACGACATCTCCACGATGTGAAAGATGCGAGGAGGAGATTGAAGACTCCCAGCACTTTTTGTGCAAATGTGTAGCACTAGCGAGGACCAGATTCGCGGTGTTTGGGCAGACGGAGATCCATCCGGAGCAGGTTAGGGAGCTAAGTGTGGGACAGATATTAGACTTCTGCAAAGAAGGACAATATCTTCGGCAGCCCTAAGGTAATGCGGGGGGGATAGAGTACAAGAGTCTCATCGGCTAGGTGCTCTGAACTGTGCGTGCATAGCCCCTTGAGAGTACATAATAATAATAATATTACCTATATAAACTCTGTGTGTAGAATTGTTTGTATATTTTCACAATACTGTTGTCTTGTGCTGGACATTGATTTAGTAAAAACATTTAAACATATTGTGATATCGGGTACTATAGTAACATGAAAACATTTGGTTTCGTTATCACTTCACAGTATGCTATTATTCCATAGTGTGATTATTGGCTACGGTTAAATACCTACACTAGATTATATTTTTCCATGTTTTCCCTCCCCTTTAAAGCATTTGAATTCTTTTTATCGGAAATGTGTCGTTGCTGTAGTTTATTCATATAAAATCGTATCCTCGTTCAATAGTTCGAAGATGCGTGGTAAGGAAAACAAATGGTACCACTCTTCGTCATAAAATGACGATCTCTTATAAGTACTTTAGGTACCTGAGTATAAAATGTTTTGAATATTGATAAAAACACCCAAATTATATAAAATATGTTTATCTGCTTTTCATGCTATTTTATTCACTTATGATTTATATAGTATTCTTGTGATTATGACCCATATGTTTTGTATTTTATTTTTATTTGAACTGTGTCGCCGGGAATTTTTTGGTCCCTTTTCCCTGTGCTCTGACTTAACGGGCCACCCTTTTGCTTAAATTAAATCAGCGGTTTCTAATCAAATGCTTGTGTTTCATTAAACCTGATCAATTTCAAAATAAGTTTATTATCAATGTAGGTAAATTGTGTATTTATTCAAAACGTAATTTAATTTAAGTAAATTAACTAGATGATCACGAATATGCCAAAATAGGTATTTCAGTACGTATACTTAAAGAATCGGGTTACGAAAATACATAGTGTATATACCTTACAGGCTGAAGTTAGCATTATTATAAATGGCGAAATAATTAAAATAGGCTTTAAATTCTTAATTGTGTTCGTCGTAGATAAAGTATAGTATGCAACTCATTTAATAAACTGCTCTAGGCACTCGCTTTCATAAAGATTGGTAAAGGAGTTTTAGAGTGAGTTAATTTTTTTTACTTATTATGCATTAATTTTGACGGGCAGTTTAGTAAGCATCACATTAAAACCCATTAAGGAGATCTTTATAAACTAATAAGGATGTATTGAAATCCTATACCTATATACAAAAGAATTGTAAAAATCCATATTAATGCGGTTTCAATCCATATTAATGCGGTTTCAAATGCCGAGTGCAATCCGAATTGAAACCAATTTCCTATTTATTATTGGTTTCAATTGTGATTTTTTGGCAGAGATAACAACGGAAATAATGAACTCATTATTCACGTTGTTAGGCATCAGTGATTGGCATATTTCAATATTTACTGTGATTTAAACCAATTGGGTTTTAAATTTGGAGAAGGCGACTATAATAACATTTAAAATTTGTAAAAAGTAAGGTTAACCATTTGACAGTATAGTATTACACTCGAGATAATGTGGATTATTCATTTGGATGATTTAAGTCTCTCGCCTGGCGACTCCAGACGCAAACCTTATCCTAGTAAATAATATGCATTATCTCTCGTATAATAATACTGTTAATATATACAATTTTTTTATGACTCTGTCCGATCGTAAAAGCGCAACGTGTATACCAATAAAGAAAACTAAAACTAAACAAAACTACTCATAATCATAATCATAATCAAATTCTTTTTTGGGATCGGAACCTATTTTAAAACTACATTTAAATGCAAATAAAACTCGGCGTTATTTGCACCTCTGTCCACTCTCTAAAAATTAATTAGTCAAAAATGACTACATCCATGATATAAAACATATGGTGGTATGGCTTTTACTTGACCTTATGTAAATAAAACTAAAATTTAGTAAATCCTAATAAAATATATTAATTGCTTAAATATAAAATCTATCTTAATATTTTGGTCTACAGCTATACAAATTGTAAAGTACATAAAATAATATATATCGTCGCCTTCAGGAGAAAATTGCTTAACTCCATGTTGTAAAATTTTACAGGAGGAAAGAAAAACATATTAAAGGTGTATTGGTGTATCTCCACATTACCGCCAAAAAATTGTTTAATGGAAAATTACGTATCTCCAATATGTACTTTATGTTAATAAAAGTAACCTTAAATTATTCATGGTACCTTAACTTTACACACTATACAATCTTTCATACTTACATACAGAAAAAATAACTAGGCAATAACTTATACTTGTCAATGGCACTGATTTGTATATTGGAGTTAGGCATTATTCCCTGGACGCTCCTCCACGATTGGAGATACGTATATTTATTTTTCTAAATTTAAAATTAACGGTTTATTTTAGGACTTCTGTAACTTGCATATAAATTAGTTACAGTTTTATCTAACAGATGCCACTAAAATACAATTTTAATGAAAATGTGGAGTTACGTGATTTTCTCCTGAAGGCGACGATATATACCTATATACTGATAAATACATATGTACATTCTTATTCGCTACAATAAATCAGTCTTAAATGGGTTAAAATTAAAAATAACAAACCCTGTACAATAAATACAATATAAACACTATAAGAGTTCGGTTTAAGGATTAAAGTTTTTTATAAATTCGATGTAATATTAGGAACGTGAATACTATAATAGTTGAGTGAACGTGAATACTATAATAATTGGTCTACATTTTAAAATGACGTGACATCAATTTTACACTGGAACTGTCTTCTCTCTCTGCAGTTTATTATTTCGTTTTTTCTCCCATTTGTTTAAGTAATTCAATGGATAGCAAATAACTGCAGACGATAACAACATGCTTCCAGATAGATAGAAGGAATACTCGTAACCGCCAGTGTAGTCCCTAAAGGCGCCCGCCAATGGGGCGCCGATAATCGCAGCAACGCCTTGGAATAGAAGAAGTAGTCCGAAGGCATTCGTTAACTTTTCAAGGCCGAGTAGATCCACCACTATTATAGATCTCAGCGATGCAAAACAAGCTAAAATAAATTAATGAATTAAGCCAACAAGTTTTATAACATTAACCAATGATTTGTGTTGTTTGCTTATTAACTATTAATATTTTATAAAATTAAACCAGTTTAGATGAAACAACTGATTATGTTAATTGCATTCCAAGTAAACATTTAAATATCCCATTTAAGTTAATTAGGAAATGTCTAGTAAATACACAATTATTTTTTAGATTCACAAAATATTATTAATTGATATTAAATATTAAAAAACCTTACTAACCAATTGATAATCCAAAAACAACAGCGTAGAAAAACTGGTATTCTGTCGTCATAGAGATCCCGCTGAAAATGGTGGCCACTCCACCAATGGTTAAAGCGACGTTGGTCACCAAAAGAGCGTTGACACTAGGAAAAGAGCTCAGCACTCCACACATTACCCTGCCAAACGTGTTGGCAATACCAATGGAGGAGACCAGCCATACAGCTGTATCCAAATCCATTTTATGGAAAGTCGCTCTGTCCACTAAGTACATAAATGGCACGTAGAAACCCATCATGGTCAAAAAACCACCAACGGAAAGAAGAATAAAAGATGGCGATTTCAAAAGGCTGTAGTCTAACATGGTTGCCAATGTTCTTTTTACAGCCTCGGGACACAACTTGCAGGTGTGTTTGATTTCCTCTTCGACATCGTTTTTGGTTGGCAGTCTTGTAACAGCCAGATTGTAGGCTATGGATGTACGTGAGGTATACTGAGGTAGCCTTTTAAGGCTAGCACAAAAAAATATATCATCTCTATATAGAGGTCTATTAACTTCAGATTCCTCATTCTGGGAGGTGGTTCTATTTCTCTTTGGTACTATAATAATAGGGTTTTTTCCTTCCAAAAGGTTTTGTTTTAAATCGTAAGATTTTGGTTTATCCTTTTCCGAAATCGATGGTACACTCAACCTCTTTTCAATGTAAGTTTCCAATATTTTCCTTGAAGGAATGTTGATTGTTTGATAAACGTCAGAAACTCTGGGATAATCAGAGTTATTGTTAACACCAAGCATTCTGGAAATAGAAGTTTGATGGTCATAAGCGGAAACAGTGGATCCTCGTCTTATTCTTCTCATTGCTTCCTCCATTTTTACCTTAGTAGCCACCGGTAATTTGCTAGGATCCATTACTAATTCTTTACCATCAGCTTCATCAATATCCTTTATTTTGGTGGGTTTCAATGGCCTAAAATTAAAACAAACTATGAGTAAAAAATCTTGATTAAAAACAATAAAAACCTACTTAAATGCCAATCCGTAGAGCACACAAGACAGGACTATAGCTCCTTGAAACAACAAGGACGTTCTCCATCCCATTTTTTCTATCATCCATTTGCTTAAAGGGGCGAAAAGGAATGTACCTATTCCAGACCCGCAAACAGCAATACCAGTAGCTAGCGCACGCCATCTTTCAAAGTAAAACCCGACTGTAATTACTGATGGCACGTAAATCAAACCAAAACCAATTCCTTGAAAGAAAAAACAATTAATGAATAAATATTTGCTTCCCTAACATGGAACTTGTATCAAGTTAGCCTATCCTATTCGATTCAATTGGCAATACTTGTATACACAGTCTGTATTTCTATACATATACATTTCTATACATAGAAGTACAGACAATAAATGTTATTGTTATTTTATTACGTAATACAATAAAATGTATACAAATTTAATATAGTTTTACATGTATATATATATACAGTGTGGAACTTACTTATGGAATAAAATTCGTTATTCGTTGAGAAAAGATTTTTATGAAAAACACTCGGACACCTAAACTTTAGTTTTTTATTCCAAATCTTATAATGATAATTTTAAATTTTATGCCCCCACCATTTTCTCCCCCGCACATTAGGCACCCTTATCTTAAATAACAACCCCACTTTTTTCATCGAAAATTGATAGTGCACATTTTTTTGAGTACGACGATACCACATAAGTAGGGTTTAGTAACCATAATTTTCAATACAGGGTGAATATTTAAAAATTATAAGTATGAATTATTGTTATTCTATGATTTAGTTTCTTGTGTTGTGGCTTTCGCTACTTAGATATTCATGTTTTTTCGCTTTGTTATTGTTTTTTGTTAATGCCATTTTTTGCGTTTGTTCTTTTTGCATTGTTTACATTTTTTGCATTGTTTACATTTTTATTATTAATGAAACATTTTGCGCTTTACTTATTGAAGTATTTTGTTAGATCCAAGTATCAGTTAATATTTTAGTTAAAAAATGCGACACTTGACAGAAACTCTGCGAATAGAAATATTAATGATGATTGGTTACGGTGATATGTGCAGATCACAACAGCAAGTTGCAAACCTTTTTAATGGAAAATACCCAGATTTACCACCACTTTCTCAGGCAACTGTGTCTAAAATACATGCACAATTTCGTGAATATGAACATGTTAAACCATTACGCAGGACGCCTCATTTTATTGATAAAAATGTGAAAGTTAATATTTTATTAGCTTTTCAAGAAGATCCAACAACTTCTACGCGTCAGGTTGCACGTGAAAACGACGTTAGTCATTCGACCGTTTTAAGATGTGTAAAAGCCGAAAAAATGCATCCATATAAACTACAACACGTACAAGAATTGATTGATGGTGATTCTGATAGAAGATTACAATTTTGCGAGCAAATGCTGCATATGTTAAACAGGAATGTTATTTCTTCTGCAGATATTCTTTTTTCTGATGAATCAACATTTCTATTAAATGGCGAGGTAAATAGACAAAATTGCAGGTACTGGGCAGAAGAAAATCCCCACTGGATGCGACAAAGTCATACCCAACGTCCTCAGAAAATCAACGTTTGGGCTGGTATTGTTGGTGATCATGTGGTGGGACTTATTTTCATTGAAAATCTTTACGGGGCAAGATATCTGGATATGCTAAGAGAACAAGTTGTCCCAACTTTAGCAGAGTTGTTTCCAAATCCATTGGAACCTAATCTTCCCAATGAAAGGATATGGCTTTAACAAGACGGTGCCCCACCCCACTATGCTCTTCCTGTACGGAATTATTTAAATGACACCTTTCCACACAGGTGGATCGGAAGAAGAGGTTTTATAGAATGGCCAGCAAGATCACCGGATCTAACACCTCTAGACTTTTTTCTATGGAGATATCTAAAAAAGGGTGTTTAAAACACAACCTGCTAATTTAGATAAATAAAGAAACAGAATTACTGGAGAAATTAGGAACATAACACCGGAGGTTTTAAACAGAGTGCTGAAACAATTTCACAGTAGATTACTAAAGTGTCAGGAAGTGGACGGGGGACATTTTGAACATTTATAAGATTGAAGAACAGTTTATTTTTGAATTATTAATTAATTTTAAAATAAAAAGTTTAGTTTTTTAATTTGTCATTATATTTCCACCCTGTATTGAAAACTGTTTACTAAACCCTACTTATATGGTATCGTCATACTAAAATCAATTTTCGATGAAAAAAAGTGGGGTTGTTATTTAAGATAAGGGTGCCTAATGTGCGGGGGGGGGGAATGATGGGGGCATAAAATTTAAAATTATCATTATAAGATTTGGAATAAAAAACTTAAGTTTACGTGTCCGAGCGTTTTTTATAAAAATCTTTTCTCAACGAATAACGAATTTTATTCCATAAGTGAGTTCCACAGTGTATATGCAGGGTGTTATTTAAGTACGTGGCTAAACTTTAGGGGACGATTCTTTGAGTGATTCTAAGACGAAAAGTTCATATAAACAAATAATCGTTTTAAACGTTCTGTTTTTTACAGAGTCAATTTTTAGGTTAATTTGTGGATTATGGTACAAGTGCCTGTGTAAGGAAAAAAAAACGTTTAAAACGATTTTTAATCTGTATAAACAGCACAAACCCAAAGCACAAGAATTGTAAACAACATAAAAATGGCCGCCATACGAGTCTGTGCACTTTTGCAGTGATTTTTTGTATGCGCGAAACGAGATAGAACATACCTTGTTGTGTGGATTGTGGTTAAAGCTATCTGCCACATGATGAATTTAATAAATATTTTTTTAAACCAAAGAAAAAGACAGTTCAGAATAATACGAAAATAATAATTATAATTTTTATAACTTTTAGCGGAATTTTGACATACATGTAGTTAATACACCAGTTTTTTGACAAAAATTAATACTTAATTTGCCATATGCAACTTAACGACAAATAGTTAACTTGGCTTGTATATAATATATACAAATCACTTTAATACTTTTTTAAAATTCGAATACACTAGGAAAAAGAAAAATTTGCTGTTAACAAGCCACATTAACTATTTATCGTTAAGTTGGATATGGAAAATTTAATATTAATTTGTGTCAAAATATCAAAATTTCGCTTAAAGTTTTAAAAATTATAATTACATAAATCTAAATATATTACATTTCTGTACCTCAAAGGTAAAGTGTATTAAATCACATAATGTAAATTGTTCAGGAGAAGCCAAAGAAGTTTTAAATCTCAGATGATTATTTCTAGTTCTTACATTTAATAACTAATCATAATGGCATTCGGACATTACTTTTTAAATATTACCTAATATATATTATTACTTGACTAGAAGATAACGCAGTAGGTACCTACTAAGTTTTTTTACAAATATCTCATTTTCGATAATATTAAACTTATTACAGTTTACCTTTGAGGTACAGATTTTCAAGCAGATGCACATACCTCCCAGTACTCCATAAGATATACAAAGAAATTGTACGTTGGTAGCAAAATATGAGATGGCAAACGCAGTTGTTCCCAAAACGCTTCCAACAATTGCCACTAGCTGAAAGCCATATCTATTCGCCAATGCACTTGCAAAAGGTCCAGATATCAGATAGAACCCAGACATTAAAGAACCGACTAGAGTAACACTCGCTTTGGATACATCGAAAGACTCGGCAATTCCAGGCAAAAACGCTCCAAACGAAAATATGATACCGTCCACCACCATGTTGCACATAAACGATGCTACCACTATGACCCATCCCCAACCGCCATCTGGAGGAACCACTACTGCTGCTTCGGGTTCGCTGTCTTCTTTAAGAGGAGCTTTTTCAAACAAATGTTTTTCTTTTTCCTTTGCGACGTCCTTGTCAGTTTCTTCAATATTTTGCACCTTTTCGTAGTTTTCTTCAGGTTCATTTGATGGTACCATGCGATATCCATTGTCATTACCGTCTGTTACGTTCGGTGGTGCCATAGTTTACTGCAAAAGAAACTGCGCGTCACAAATAGTATATAGAAAATTCTTATAATGAATTAATAACTAATTTACATGCTTATAAGCATATATGAATACATTTCCATCAATTTTACCATAACTAGCTTTTCAAGATAAAGTGTGGAAATGACCATGAAAAAATCCAAGGTTCTAAAGCATAATCATTTTTATGCACTTTAAAGAAATATTTAATTTAATATTTTGTCGTTAATAATACCATACCATTAATGAATATTTGAACGCAGCAGAAAATATTATCTTTTACAAAGTTAAATATAAACGTTTTAGTAAAATTTAAGCATTAGGATGTAGTTTTAAAGCTTTAAATGTTTATGTAACATACGGTGAAATTATTGGAGCTTGTTAATTCAATCGTTTAATATATTTCCACCAATTTTGCATAACAGGTACTGAAAGAAGCTCAGACGGCCTTGAATCCTCCACACGCCCACTATTTAGCAAATCGAAGCCTTCTTTTTCTTATATGAGCATTCGTTTGATAAAGAATAAACACGTGGAACGCCAGTTTGAAAAGTAAATAAATAATCTAATGTGGAATTTTTATAGAAAAAATAGGTCAACTACATTTTTAAATAGATAAAAGTAAAAATATTTATGTAGTAAAACGTTAAAAATAATATCATTGTGAACCAGACAGTTTGTTTACAAATATTACCTCTAAATGTTGCAGTTCTTGTTTAAATGATTTTAAATATTTAATAATTATAATTACATTTCCTGGCTTATGTCACGTAAATAGTTTTCTGAATTTATACTTGGTAGTTTTCTTATTCAATAATTTAATTAGCAGTTCATTAGGAAACGCTTTAAGAAAGTACCTTAGTTCGAAAGCATGCTTCAGGGTTTTCTTCGTGGACCGTTATAAATTCTATTGATGTAGATAAATAATGCGCATGTAATCTTGACAAAAATATCATAAGGAATTAGGTTTTGTCAGTAGGACGTTCCGAAGTTTAGTGCTATACATGTAAAAGTTGTTATACATTTTTATATATGTTTATTATTTAAAATTATCTGTTATATGAAAATAGTTAAATTACACAATAGCAAGTGTGGTGACTATTTATACAATTCGTGGCTTAAAAATGATGCAACTTTCGAATTTCAGAAGTCATACATTTGTTTATTTTTTTTAGTACTTGCTTATGCATGTATTTGATTATTGTTTTTTAAACATTCATTTACATTTTATCGGTCTAGTTAATTTAACGAAGTTGTAGATTAAGTGTCTCATTTTCAGGGCCGTTCTTAGCTTTTTTGACTCCGGTGTGCAAAGTAAAATTTGCCGCCCTATAAATAAATGGCTATTTCCATGTTATTCCGTTAATCTTTTTATACAAACTCTAAAATGTAAATAAAATAAAAAATTTTGTACGTCCACAATTTAAAAAGTTTTTTCATTATTTCCTTCCTTTATACTGGCGGAAAAGATATTGGATTGTTAACACTATATTTTTTTTTTGTTCTTGTTTAGTATTATAGCTGTATAGGTAATAAAATATTGTTTTCAAGTTCAAAAATTGCCCAACAATTTTCTATAAAAGATTTTGATTTGCAAGTTGAACGTAATTAAAAATTATTTAAAAAGGGGCAAAGGTAGTAAGGAAATAATTCTACCAAATATACAGGTCTGCAAAACATTCTCTAGTTGATAAGTTTTTGGTGCGCTGAATTTGAATCCGACCTCAGAATTGTTTCATGACAGTTTTTGAGAAATCTTAACCCAAAAAACAGGCTGGCTCAAAAGTTTAAAATATTGAGTGTAACTTTTGAAATATTAAAAATATTGAAAAATGATTTTAATAAAAGTTGTTTGGTAGTTAACTAAGTTTTTAAAATGTTTGAAATGAATTCCCTATGTAACAAACTAATATTAATATACTGTTGTAAACAGAAAAAAAGTCTCTTTTAAATTCTGTTGTAAAAAGGGGGGTTACTATTTAAAAAAAGTTGGCCTCCTTGGGGGCTACGTTTTTTTTTTGAGTTAATAATGTCACCGATAAATTTTAAATAAACTATTAAAAACAAGTTTTAAGAGGAAAAATATCCTTTGATATGGTATTATCTTAAACATTTTAGAATGTCTCAAAAACCGAATGCGATTAAGTAAATTTGAATTAAATATTGGTAAAAATATAGTTTCTTGTGAACAAGTGAGAAACCTTGTTTTTAAGCTATAGCTAGAATTTAAATTACTATAGTAATTTATAATTTATTTAACCTTCGACCTTCATAGTTTTTGCTGAACAAAATACTTGTCAAACCGTTTTTTTTTTCGGTAAAAATTTTAAAACTGCAAGATTAAAAATTGGTTTTTATTTATTTTTTAATTTTTCCAGTTACTAATCATTAGTTTCAGCACATAATAAATTTGTCCGTCGAGGTCTTGAAATATTAGAAATTTTAACATGATGTACATAAAGCGGCAAGTATGTTAAAAATATTAAAAATGGGTAAATAAACAGGGAAATTACATAATTATGATAATATATTTAAAATAAAAAGATAAATAAACCATGTAGTAGATTATTTAGTTTATTTTTCAAATGTGCAGCCCCTAGCAGAGTGCACCCCCGAGTAGGGACATCCCTAATTATTTTATTTTATCCAACTTATAAATATAAATTTAAATTCATAATAATTTATTATAATACTATAATAATGTGGAATCAAAACCACACAAAAAAGATATACCTAGTTAAACCAATATTTCTGTCACATACTACTAGAACAAATTTTGATTTACCTAGTATAATAAAAAATGCTTGCTGTGATATTTTCTTTTTTCTTCTTCTACAGTTTATATCTACAATTAACTTAAATTCGACGCGGCCTTTACGTCCCAAATTACAAAGTACATTCAGTTTATTAATAGACAGATAAATGTATAAACGGTTTGCAAAGATATCTAGCAATTCGAATATAGTGTGTGACATTATTTTAAGATAACCTACCTACCGATAAAAATTAAACTTACATGTCATGTGGGCGTTAGATAGCATAATATATAAAGCAATAGATTACATATTATTCAAATAAATAAATAAAAAGTGTTTTTTTATTATTTAAATAAAAAAGTTAATAATGGTACCTAATTATAAAATAATGTTGTTATAAAACAAAGTAATTAAAATGTGTATCGTACCTATACTTAGAATCCGAAAGAGAAATTTTCAAAATTTTTATTTAACTTCACTGTCACCACGCCGCAGCACTGTATTTACTACTAAGCCAAACGTTTTTCCCGCGCTCAGGTTTAACACTGACTTGTTCTTGACTCAGTGGAGTGTTCTTTTGACTAAGTACCTATCCCCACTCTTCATTCATGCTTCTTGCAAGTTCCCCATTCAAAAGAAGTATCGTACCTCAAATGATGCCACCTCCAATCGTAGACAAATATATGCAATTTGCTGGAAAACATGTTCTGATTTGTTGTATTATGGATTGATCGCAAGAACCTGAACATTATAAAAACTTACTTAAGCAGAAATGCGCATTCCAATGTATAAATATATATGGAGAAATCTTTTTTAAAATATTTGAAGAAAAAAAATTGTATTAAAAAAAACAATTTTTAATATCCAAATCGATTTAAAAAATATTGTCAAATGTGAGACACCCGGTATATTTTTATCAAATTGGCTGATCTCTTCTTATATGCTGTTTTCAAAAATAGTACAGCTAAATTAGGTATTATCCTAAGTACCTACTTATAAATATTTAAAACGTTTTAAATATTCTCAAAAAAATAATGTTTAAAATTATTAAGCATTTCATAATGTCCAAACCCCTAAAATACAAACATCGAATAAGGCGTTATTTTTTTACTAAATTTAACACTAAACTTTGTGTTATTTACAATAATTTATTTTCTTTTTAAAAACCTAATTTTTGTGTTTAATTATGAAACTATAGTTAGTACGTATGCGTATATTTTAAACTGATAAGATAATTTTTTTGAATTTGATATGCTTTTATATATAGTATAGCAAAAATATATATACAGGGTGTCTAATTAAGTCTGGACCTAAAAAAAAATATCAAAAATTTCTTAAAACCGTTTATAAACTATAAATAGGATATGTGGTTTTTCAAGTGTGTTACCTCATTGGAAAGCTCTTAAAAATTGCGATTTATAAAAATACTTTTTAATAGTTTTTTTTTACATAATGCAAAATAATTTTTAAAATTATATATTTCAATTTCTCGCTAAAATAAATATTAAATTAAACCATTAAATAATTCTAGCAAAAGTATGATAAACTAAAAACATATTTAAAAAATTGTTCAACAATAATTAAAACACTTTAGTTTTTAGCTTTTTAAATTAAATGCTTAAAATGACTCTCATTATTTTGTAAGCCATAGTACAGTCTATTCTCAAATTCCCTTCGAACATTTTGAAATGTTTGTCGTGGAATAGCTCGGCATTCTTGAACTATTCGATGTCACAGATCTTTAATAGAACCAGGCTTGTAGACCACAGATTTTAAGTGTCCCTAAGAAAAAGTCTAATGGTGTCAGATCTGGAAGACCATTCTATTGGTCCTCTTCTAGCAATCCACTGTTCTGGATAATTCTGATATAGCCAAGCCCTAACATCTACTACATAATGGGGTAGTGCCCAATCTTGTTGAAAATGTAATAAATTTAAATTTTGATTTTCTCGCTCTTTATTAAATGCCACAGCAGTTCGTAGAGCACAATAATTTTGTGCACCACAAATAATAATAATAATTTCAATACGTTCAGCCTTTGTGTAAACCATTTTGGAAAACAAACAATACTAAAGGGTGTCTCAACAAGAGCGCAGGATTGAAATTTGCCGCCATTTTGTTAAAACGAATTGTACGGTGATTTTTTTTCCACAGTTGTCACGCACAGACCACGCGATTGGAGAAATATTCAAACGAACAATGTTTAATTATTGTAAAAACGCATTACAAAAATGGTGAAAG